TCAGACTCATCGTTGAATGAGGCGGGTGGCGCCGCCGAGCCGCACCGCACAGACCGCTCGGCCGCTCACGATCACGACCAGCAGCAGGCTCTCGACGCGGAGTCCGCGCGGGCCATGGGGGCGCTGGTGGCGCAAGCATGTCGTCGACGACGAGCGGGTGGTGGGCACTGTCACGTTGAAGTCCCAAGCACTGCGCGAGCTCACCACCAGCGTCGGCGACCTGCGGGCGGTCTATCTCTGGCGCCTGATCGAGCGGTGCAAGCGCGAGCGGTGGAGAAAACGGCTTCGCGGGACCCGGCCCACTACACTCGCCATCACCGCGTGGCCTCGGGGCCGCAGCCTGCCCCACTGGGCGGAAAAGATCGCGGCCATTCTGGCCCGCAACAACCAGGCCGCCTCCGAGGCCGGGGGATATAACTCCGAAAGAGCGAAGGAGGCCCGACAGGAGGTGCGCCGGTTCGTACTGCACGACGCAGCACTGCGGCCGCACATCAATCACCTCATGGACGTCACATCCCACTTGCAGGTAATTTTTCTCTCGTGGCTGATTCTATTGGAGAAACTCACACAACAGCATTTTGCAACGCGCCGCACAGGAGCAGATGATGGGCGAGAGGTCCGGACAGGCAGGGGTGGGCAACGCACCGTTCGACGAGGTGGCGCTCATCAAGCGTTTTGAGCCCTTCATCCGGCGCAAGGCCGGTGTGCCGGCAGACTGGGCTCTGGTGCTGTTGGAGTCTCATGACGGTGATGGCGATGATGCGGCAAATCAGCTCGGCTGTGTGCCAGGCCGGCCATTCGTGGCTGTGCACTGCCAGCGGGAGAACCCTAATGAGCACTGAGAAGTAAACAGGCTTGTCATCCCATCAAAAATGAAACACAACAACCAGCCACCACACTGTACACGAAAACACAAGAAATGGACGTCATTCAGCCTCAACATGATAAGAAGAACAACGTGGTCAGCCAAAACACCCAGCTGGCGATTGGCAGCATGCCATTGTGTGGGTCAGACCGCACCTTCACGAGTGCACAGTCGCATGGACAGTTCACGAAGGAGGTGCAGTGGAGGTCAGCATTTGAGACACACATGGGCGTTGACGTCCCGGCGGCTATCGCCCCTGGTCTGTTACGATTCTCTTTTGTCGCTACTCTGCAAAGAAACAAAAGAAGAGCAGAAAGGACAAGGCTACGCTGTGTTGCGATTGGCAGCTGCGGGCCGTGGTTGGCCTCTTGTTTGTCGCGCCGCCGTTGCCGCAGATTCGCATCGCTTCGCATCTGCCTTTCGCCATCGGCGATCATGGAGAGTATCTGGAGTAAGGTTGTTACCGCCACCGGGTGCTCGCAGATGGCGCAAACATGCCGACGCAAGCCGACGTGCCCCATCGACACGCTCATCATCCAAACGCGCTATGCAATGGCCCTGGGGCGCAGGGCGCAAGGGCCGGTGGGCGTGGTCAGCGCCCAAGGTGCCACCCAAGGCAGCAATGGCCAGACGGGCGTCTGTAGCACGCACCAAGGCCAACCGCTCTTTCCTGGGCCACCGGGGCCGTCCCTGTCAGGGAGCGCGAGAGCTGCATGTGGCCTCTTTGGGTAGAAGCGCCATCTCCTCAACGGCAGTTACAACAACTGGTAGCTCTTTGGCATTGTAGAGGGAAAGGGTGTAGGCACTGCGGGTGGTCTGCACCAATGAACGAGGAGGTTTGAATTGGCGAAAGGGCCAATGCGGAGTGGGGCCGATCTGGCTGTATTTTTTCGGGTCATCGAAACAAGATCTTGAAGGTTGGTGGGACCAAACGCAAGAGGGAGGATGAGTTTGTGGTCGTCCATTAAGGAGTACACCGCTCCTCTCAACATCAAAGAGGTAATAAGCCCATCCGCTAAATTGCGTCAGTGCTTCCCTCCCGTAGCAAACTGAAATCGTACCATTGAAATGAACATCTCTTCCTCTCTTGCTTGTGATTGTCAAGTCTTTGGGCATTGGGGCGGGAGATGCCAAGGCTATGGCGGCCCTGACCGAGGCCGACAAGGAATTCGAGGAGAAGGTGCGTAAGTCGTGGCAGCTCATGCACAGCCTCGTCTCCACACTCCACGAAAACGTAGTCAAGTCCAACACTGCGCTCACGGGTGCGTCCACCCCAAATCCATTCTTTTTTATTTTTTTTTCGTTTTAAACATTAAAAAATAGACAAATTTATTTGTACGCGCATCCATTCGAATCGATTTGTTCAATTTATGTTATTTATCTTTTTGTGTAACAACCATGTATTATTATTTTATTTACGTTATTTTTTTGCAGATTTGGCGAAGCCGTTCAGCGCGGTGGAGGGAGCACTGTCCAACTACTACCGCGAGTGTCGCGTTGCCACCGACGAGGTCAAAGAGTTCTCCAACTCTGGTATGCGCGTGTCTGCCGCGTCGTGCGTGTACCGCGGCTGACCGACAATCAACCACCTGCGCGCAGTGACCAAGCTCAAGCTGGCCACGCACAAGTACGGCGAAATGATGGAGAGCTACAAGGTCAAGGAGGAACTCGAAAACTGGCTCGCCAAGCTCGGCGAACTCAAGGTTCACACGACACACGACACACACGACACATACGACACACACGACACACACGACACATACGACACACACGACACACACGACACACACGACACACACGACACACACGACACACACGACACACACGACACACACGACACACACGACACACACGACACACACGACACACACGACGACACACGACACACGACACACACACATACGACACACGACACACGACACACGACACACGACACGACACGACACGACACGACACGACACGACACTCACACGCAGCGATCCAATTGTGCAGAGGCAAATCAACAACCGAGACACGCTGCTCGTGGACTACAAGAAGAAGCAGAGCAAGTTCGCCTCCCAGCAGACCAAGGCCGAGCAGAAGCACACCACCCGCGACCCCGCCGTTGCCCAGAAGCTCCAGCAGTTGGACGCCGATTGGAAGGCGACCAAGGAGCACTTCGCGACGCAGAACACGAAGCTCTTCAAGCTCGTGCCCGACATCCACGTCCAGCTCTTCAAGGCCCTCGAAGATCAGATCCGCACCGTACGGCCGGACCACACCCATTCCTCACATTCCTGGACTTACCGCACGACACGCACGGCACACGACACACGACACATCAGGCGGCGACGTCCCACTTTTGGCTGTTCTGGACGTTGAGCGAGGCCTACGGGTACTGGCACCAGCAGGAGGTCAACAAGTCGTCGATGCGCCAGACCCGCCGGGCCGGCACCGTGGGCAACTCCAACCGCCGCGCCATGACCCTCAAGCAGCCCCTCCCCACCCTTGCCGGCGGTACCCACCTCACCACCACCGGCACGCACGCACGCACGCACGCACACGACACTCACCCTGGTACGTGTCGTGTCGTGCGTGTGTCACGTCGCAGCGCCACACGATCCGTCGCAGCAGAACGTCCAACCCACGCCCGTGGCGGCGGAGAAGGCCCTGCCCGCGCCGCCCTCGCAGACGCCCGTGGCGGCCGCCGAGAAGGCCCTGCCCACGCCGCCCTCCCACATCGCCGCCAAGCCCCTCCCCATGCCGGGCGACAAGAAGCCCGCCCTCCCGCCCAAGCCCGCCGCTGCCGTTGCCGCCGCCACGCCCGCACCCACGACGCCCGCGCCTGCAGCCGAGGAGACGCCGCGCGATGAGAAGGGCGAGGCGGTGACGGATCGCAGCCTGCGGGAGAAGCTGAAGCTGCTGGCGCTGGAGCGGCGCAGCCTGGAGGAGGAGAAGGCCGAGGTGGCGCGCCTGCGGGCGGAGATCAGGCAGGAGTGGGACGACGTGGAGGTCGAGCGGCAGAAGGTGCGGCAGCTCAAGCGCGACGAGCTGGCCAAGCTGGCCGAGGAGCGGGCGCGGAGCGAGGCCGAGCTCAAGGAGCGTCAGCGGCTGCTCGAGGAGCGCGAGCGCAACCTGGAGCACGACCGCCGCGCGCTCGAGGACGAGAAGCTGCGCCTCGACAAGCGCATCCACGAGGAGAACGACCGCGCCGAGAAGCGCCGCCTCATGGAGGAGGAGTTCAAGAAAATGGACGAAGAGCGCAAGGTGCCACCCAATCTATCTCTCTTTCCTTTCCTCCTCGATCGTGTTCTCACCGCACGCACACAACACACACACACAACACACACAACACACAACACACACACAGATGATTGAGGAGAAGAAGCTGCAGATTGCGGAGGACAAGATGAAGAAGCGGCTGCAGGAGGAGTGGAAGCGGGTGGAGGCCAAGAAGCAGGAGCTGGAGGAGGCGCGCAAGCAGGAGGAGGAGCGCCGCCGCCGGGAGGAGGAGGAGCGCATCGAGGAGGAGCGTCGGCGGCTCGAGCACGAGACCCGCGAGCGCGCCCGGCGCGCCGAAGAGGCCCGCCTCGAGGCCCAGCGCGAGAAGGACCGGATCGACCGCATCCGCCGCCAGATGGAGGAGGAGAAGCAGCGGCTCGAGAACATTCGCAAGCGCCTTACCGACGAAGACGAAGACGCCGATATCGAATTCTTCGCTCCCTCCACCCACTCCCTCGTCGCCGTTTCGAGTCCCGCCGCCAACGCCGCTGTCGCAGCCGCCGCGGCGCCCGCGGTCGCCGTTTCGAATCCCACCGCCGACGCCGTTTCGCCGAGGGCTGCGGCGGCCGCTGCGGTGGTGAAGAAGCGGGTGACGACGGTGCGGCAGACGCGGCGGGTGATGGTGGTGAAGGCCAAGTACGACTACGAGGCCAAGCCCGGCACGGAGGAGCTCAGCTTCCGCAAGGGCGACGTGCTGCTGATCGACTACGTCGTGGGCAACACCACGGGCTGGGTGCGCGGTCAGACCGAGACCGGCGTCGGCGGCCTCGTCCCGCTGAGCCTAGTCGAGGCCGCCACGCCCGACGCGCCCGCGGCCTCCGCGGCTGATGACGGCGTCGCCAAGGCCGCGGCGGCTGCGGCGGCCGAGGAGGAGCGACTTGAGCTGAAGCGTAAGGAGGAGGAGTGGGCCAGGGAGCAGGAGGCCGAGCGCGAGCGGGATGACGAGCGGGAACGCGAGCGCGAGCGCAAGCGCGTGGAGATGGAGGCGGCCGAGGCGGCCAAGTCCCAGGAGGCGGAAGCGGAGGCAGAGGGCGAGGTGACGGTGCGCGCGCTGTTTGACTACCACGCGCAGGAGGAGGGCGAGCTGACGTTCAAGAAGGGCGAGCTCATCCGCCTGCTCGAGAAGGACGACGAGGGCGGCTGGTGGATCGGTGACCTGCGCGGCATCATGGGCCTCTTCCCCAAGAACTTTGTCGAGGTCGTCCTCCCCGACCAACTCCGCGCTCACAAGGTGCCTCCCCCCGCCATCGCTCTTCGTTCTTTTTCTAGTGTCTTCGTTCTTCGTTCTTTTCTCTCGTGCTTCGTTCTTTGTTCTTCGTTCTTTCTTTGCTGATGACGATGATGGCGACGACGTGCAGGAGGAGGAGGACAAGAAGAAGAAGACGTTCGGAGGGATAAAGATGTTCCCCGACGTGCAGCCCGGCCAGCAGAAGGCGCTCAGCCCGCGCAAGGAAGAAGAGCCGAAGAAGACGGAGGAAAAGGAGGTGATGAAGATGGTGGCGATGTATGACTACGAGGCGACGGAAGAGGGCGAGCTGACGTTCAAGCAGGGCGACGCCATCACCGTCCTCGAGCAGTTCGAGAACGGCTGGTGGAGTGGCGAGCTGCGCGGCCAGGCCGGCGTCTTCCCCGTCAACTTCACCAAGCCCGCCAACGCCTGAGGGCTGGTGCGTGTGCGCACACGTGTGCGGTTTGCTGTGGGTTGAACCGTTGTTTTGTGCGATTGGTACACGCCATCAGCATTACAGCGACGGGCCAATCACGACTCGGCCGAGGAAATAAAGTAAAAGTACTTTTTTGGTTGGTGGGACAAACTATATCAGAACAACGCAACACACACACGACACAACGACAGAACACAACCAAGATGAAGTCGGGAAGCGTGAAGGCGCTCGCGGGGGCGGAGGCCGAGGGACTGGCCGACCAGACGCTGGGCTCACTGCTCGGCGGGGTGAAGGAAAAGAAGAAAACAGATGAAAAGAACAAGAAGGAGAAGAAGGAAAAGAAAGATGAGAAGGACAAGAAAGAAGAGAAGGCGAAAGAGAAGGGGATGAAGAAGACAAAGAAGCGAAAGGAGGGGTGGTTGGTGAAGGAGGGCGGGGTCTACCGCAATTGGAACCGGCGGTGGTTCGTCCTCGCGGACGAGGTGGTGTACTACTTCAAGGACGCCCAGCCCCACACGCCCATCTCCGGAGTCATTCGCCTCCAGGTAATACAAAACAAATATTATTTTGTATAATACAAACAAAAAACTGTATTTATAATTCCTTTTATGATTTATTTCTTTGTTATTTATTTGCTGACGTAGTGGTTGGTAGGAGAACTCGGTGGTAACGGCGCCGAGCGAGGACGCGTGCAAGCGCAAGCACTGCCTCGAATTGGTGGTCCTCGGCCGCACCTTCCTCCTCCAGGCCGCGTACGTTCGGTGTGTGTGCCATGTGTGCGTGTCGTGCGCTCGTTCTAATCGCACGACACACGCACCACCGCACACACAGAGATGATCGAGAGCGGGACGAGTGGGCGAAGGAGCTGCGGGAGGCGATCGCGCGGGCCAGGAAGCGGAGCGAGCAGGAGCGACGCGCCGACAAGCAGCGCCACGAGCGCGAGCAGCGCGACCGCGCCCTGGCCGACCTCGCCAGCGTCTCCCCGCCCGGCGGCTCTTCACTCAGCGGGCGGCCGTTCTTCGCCAAGAAGAAGGCGGAGGCACCTTCATCTTCATCATCGTCGTCGTCTTCATCAGCAGCAGCCTCGTCAGCGCCATCGACGCCGCGGGCGGAGGAAGAGGAGAAGAAGGAGAAGGAGAAGGAAAAGGAGAAGAAGGAGAGGGAGAAGGAGCGGGAGATGAAGGAGCGGGAGCGGGAGCTGAAGAAGAGAGAAGAGGAGGTCAAGGCCAAGGAGCAGAAGCTGCAGGACAAGAAGGACAAGGAGAAGGAGAAGCAGCAAAAGGAGAAGGAGAAGGAGAAACAGCAAAAAGAGAAGGAGAAGAGCAAAAAGAAGTGAATCACAGCTGAGTTGATGAAGAAGAAGAAGTGATGTAGTTTTAACTCCGATTACTCAGAGAAAGCGAATCAGGAAGAAGGTGACTGTTGCTGGAGGAGAAGCTGCTTGTAGGTGCCGAGCACGGCGAACTCGTCGTCGAGCGGGATGTCGAGGTGCGCGTCGGCGTCCTCCTCGACGCTGTCCAGGAGCTCGTTCTCGGTCTGCCGCTGCAGCTCACGCTCCTGCGCCAACCGCTCCTCCTGCTCTCGCTTCCTCTCCGCCTCGGCCGCCGCCGCAGCCGCCGCTTCGTCCGTGCCAGGCGCCTCCCCCTTGTGTTCGACCTCCATCGCTGCGCCGGCCTCAGCCTCGGTGGTGGTCGTCGTGGTGGCGACCGGCTCATCGTCGGCTTCGATGCCGCGGCCCTCGAGGAGGAGGTTGATGGCCTGCTCCACGTTGGCGTCCGTCGCGCGCAACGTACCCACGGCCTGCGCACGCGAGAAGCCCATCCCCACCACCTGCTCGCGCACGCAAGTGTTGTATGAGCGCGCGGCACACACACCGTCCACCGCTCGCACACACGCACAACCATAACCGCACACGACACACAAACCGCACACGATACAACCGCACACGCGCGCGAGTGCGCACCTGTTCGATTTTGTCCTCGGGGACGGGCGTGAGGGTGGCCTTGCGCTTGGACTTCTTGTTGCGTGACGCGTCGATCGAGGCCTGGAGCACGTCGGGCGACTCGGTGAGGAGGGTGATCGAGGCCGCCTCGTCGTTGTTGGACTGCCGCAGGGCCTCGGTGGCCAGGCGCCGGGTGAAGCCCATGTCGGTGAGCGCCTTGAGCAGGGCCACATCTACCCACTGGCCGTTGGCAGTCCTGCCGGCGCGGTGCCGCTCGCGCCTGGCCTCCCGCTGCCGGCGTTCTTCCTCGCGGGCCGCGCGCTGCTGCTCGCGCTTGTTGATGAGGTACGTGACTGCGGCCTCCTGGCTTCTGTCGCACGCACGCAACGCCACACGCGATTCTGAAGCCGTGGTGAGCGCCACACACCACACACCAAGAGAAAGGCTCACGCAAGATATACCGGTGGCAGAGAAGCCCATGGCGATGAGACCGACCAACTCGTCGTCGGTGACTTTGAGCGAGTTGAGCTTCGTCTCTGCTTCGTTTAGATAGCGCTGCGCTCCCGCCGAGTCTGTGCCAGAAAGTTGGCCGAACGTCGTAAGTACTTACACGCAGCTGGTCCGTAGTGTGTGGTGCGGGCTGTATGCGGCGTGTACCGTTGTTGTGATAGGCAGCAATCGCGCGCAACAGGTTCAAGCGCACGTAGAGGATCATTTCGGGAGCGCCGCCCTTGAGCCTCTTCAGGCGCTCCATGTTGCGTCCGTACGTCTTCTCCAAGCACTCTTGGGCCTACGTCCGACAACACACGTCAGCACTTGGCATCACACGCGATCTGAGACTCAGTCCGTGGCGCTCGTGCACCTTCTGCAGCCGCCAGCCGGCGTCCTTGAGGTTGTTGATGTCCTGCAGCTTGAAGTAGGTCCAGGCGATGTCCAGGCACAGCAGGCCGTAGTTGTCGACCATGGCCAACAGGTCAGCCGAACTGTAAGACCGCACGCACGCACACGACACACGTCGCGACGCCGCGGTGAGGCCTGGTTGGAGAGTGATCACTAGGCGACTTCGAATGTTGTACCATTTGGAGAAGCCCTCTGACTCGGCACGGAGGAACATCTGCGCGGCGGTCTTCAGGTCGCCCTTCTTCACGAGCGCCTTGCCCCGGTCGTGCAGGGTCATGCCGACCGTGAGCGCCCGCTGGTCGCCTAGCCACGTTGGGTCAGTCGAGCAGAAAACGTTGAGGAAGACGAAGAAGACCGTACTGGGCAGGAGGTGCATCTTCTGGCCCGACTGGTTGTAGATCTCGAGCGTCTGCGGTGCGTACTCGTTCTCGTCCGTGTCGACTCGAGACGCCTGCCAAGCGTGCACATGTAAGGAGTCACAATACGAGGCATGCTGTGTGTGCGGGATGGAGGGCGTACGAGGTCCTGTGCAGCGGCCAGGGTGCGTTCGACCTGCGTCTCGTCGAGTATCTTCTGCTGTTCTGTCTGCTCGAGCTCCATCTTCTTGCCCGCCAGGTCCTCCATGAGCATCAGCATCGACGACGCCTTGGTCTACATTACGTAAAACAAAAAGACCCTCACGTGAGCATCAAGACCATCACCAGCGGTGCAAGTAGTACAATATTGGATGGTCCATACTGAGCCAACGCGCTGCTCTTTTAGGCTGAGCTCGTTCTTCAAGATCCTAGAGGAGGCCGAAGATTGGTGAGTGATTGTGGTGCAGATCGTGCCGAGGAAGATGCAAGATGCAAGATGCACGTGATATATGAAGGGAGGTGAGGGTCGTACTTGCCGGAGCACATGAGCTTCATGGTGTGGAGGGGTTGGCCGGTGAGGTTCTGCAGCTTCGATTTGAGGTCCGCTGCAGTGGCATCCAAGGAGATGGAAACGTCGCCCGTCCATTTCGCGCCACACACCTGCTTGACCTTCAGCACCACCTCGCCCTGCCCCGCAGCTGTTTGTTGCTCTTCCATCTTCTCGGTTGAAGGACTTGTGCTTTCTTCCTTCTGTGCCTTTTCTGCCGTTCGCAGAACATTTTTCTCAGTTTTTTATAAATCAAGAAAAAAACAGAAGTCTTTTTATTTTAAAATAATAGTGTCCAAAAAAGGGGCGGTTGGTGGAGGGAAGGTGGTGTCGCATGTCGTCGGTCCTTCAGTGGTTTCGCTCCGTCTCGGTCCGAGGTGGTGGTTGAGTCCGATTCTCGGCCAAGGTGGTTGGTGTTGGTTGGCTGCGCTTGTCCGTCGCTGATGTTCCCTCAAGTCCTCACTCCTCACCGACCCCCAGTCGCCCAGGGTTCGGTCGAGGGGTGTGAGGACCGTCGACGTGGTAGTCGAGAGACGCGGCCGAGTCGTCGAGCACTGCAGTGGTCGAGCGGCCCGGTTGGTACGGAGCTGGCAGCGCACGGAGCGGCTGAAGGCTGGTGGTGGATTGGTGGGATTAAGTTTCGGGCGAAGTGGCTCGCGTGGACGTCGAGAGCGACGAGTGGTGGTGTCTCATGGTCGACCGGTCTGCCGGCGCCTGGATGGCGAGGTCCACCGACCGGCAGATGGGCAAAAACAACAATTACCAAAAATAAAAGAGGTGATTCGAATTACAAGGGAGAACGAAGACGGCGGCTGAGTCGCCCAAGTCGTAAGAGGCGTAATGGACTGATACTGCTGGTGCGCCCAGCAACTTGGGTCAGCACCTGGTTGAGTCCCGACAGCACCGCCCTCACTTCAGCCTCGTGCGAACAATGGATGCTTCGGGAGAAGTGGACTGCAAGGTGCAGTCAATCACGCACTACTCGTACTTTGATCGAACCATGCGGCAGAAGTTGTGCTCATTATCCACACCAAGCGAAGAACACCACCTGCGAAAAATACGGGAATGGCTTGAGGTGTCGGGTTTGTCGACTTGATTCTGGACGCATGCGGGGGAGCAATGCGGATTTCCCGCCGAAGCTGGCGCTGGGCCGTCTAAATAGTCGACACTTGAGCGCCCAAGAGCGAAATGAAATGCACAAGGACAAAAAGGTACGCAAACCTGTCGTGTGCGCCCACTTGCAGACCACACAGACCGCACAGATCTGCCCCAGCACACCGGCAGACAGTAAAACACAGCAAACACACATGGACGCACCACGAGCTGATGTGGTCATAGTGGAGACTGGTAAGTTGCACTGTTTATTTTTTTTGTTTTTTGTTTTTTTACCTCCGGAAGATCATCTTCCTGCCGATCGATTTTGTTGTAAAATGCACAAAATCAAATCGCAAATGATTAACCTGCGACTCTTGCTCTTCGGCAGGGGTGGGAAACCTGGGTTCGATGTCGGCGGTTCTGCTGCGAAGCGGCGCCACCTCGGTGAAGCTCACCACCGACCCTTCCCTCGTCCGGGCCGCCACTCACGTGGTCCTCCCCGGTACCCTTCCTCTCCCTCCCATCATCATCATCATCATCTCATTGATTCTTTCTTTCTACTTTTTTTTTGTCTACGCCATTGTTCAAGTACTCACTTGCGCGAGCACGTTGGGCTTACGGGCTCTGTTTATGAATTTATTTATTTATTTTATTTTAATGGTGTATGGAATGCTGCGTGCAGGCGTGGGTTCGTTTGGCAGCGCGATGGACTTCCTGTCGAAGGCCGACGGCCTGATCGCTGCCCTCAAAGACCGCATCGCCAACAACCAGCCCACGCTCTGCGTTTGCGTCGGGTACTGTTGACCGCTTGCGCAGGCCTGTCGCACCCTCGTCCCGTGCTCACTCCGTGCAATTTAATGATTAATTACTTTATTTATTTGCTCTCATGATCACAATATCTGGGGCACACAACAGACTTCAGGTGTTGGCTGCCATCAGCGAGGAGAGCCCTGGTGCCAATGGCTTCGACCTTCTCGACGGTTCGTGGACGCACAGCCAACCAACCAAGCAATCAACCATCTGGCCGTTTTCCTCACTTTTTGTGTTGGTCCCATGCAGGCGCGGCCATCCTTAAGTTCCCTTCGTCTGTGCGCGTTCCTCAGCAGTGCTGGAATCAAGTGGTCGTTGAGGTACGCACGCACGCACGCACTCTCTCACAGGACCAAAGCGATCGCACACACGCACGCACGCACGTGATGACTTGCCACGCTCACGAACACACGCATGCACACGTACAGGATGGATGCAAACTGCTTAAGAGCGGCTGTGCCTACTTCAGCAACTCCTACTGCCTCCGCTCGCGCCCGCTGGACTGGTCCGCGGCCTACTCGCAACACGGAGTACGGCCCTTCTCTTCGCCCCAGTGCACTCCCTGGCTTTATTCCTCTAATTTATTTAATTTTTAATTTTTTATTCTTGACAAAATAGATCAAGTTCATCGCGGCGCTTGAGCGGGGCAACGTGGTGGCCACCCAGTTCCACCCCGAGCTCTCGGGCCGATACGGCACTGAGCTCATCCAGTACGTTCTTCGTTCATTTCATTCATCTCTTTTTCTCCTTGGCTTCGTTCTTCTGACGCGTGCGGTGGCATCGTAGGCGCTGGCTGGGTACCGAGCACACCGGACCCGTGGTCGAGCCCGCTCTTCCTACGGCCTCGCCGCAGTTCTCCTCCTCGTCCGCTCTGCGACGCGTCATCCCGTGCCTCGACGTCAAGAGCGGACGCGTCGTCAAGGGTGCGCTGCCCACTCCCACTATCCAATCATCATCATAGTCCCTCAAGTCTCACACGAAAGTGAAATGTGCGCGGCGCCAGGCATTCAATTCCAGGGTCTGCGCGATGCCGGTGACCCGGTGGAGCTCGCCCTGGCCTATCAAGAGCAGGGCGCCGACGAAATTGTATTCCTCGACATTTCTGCTACTGGTGCGTTGTTGTGTGCGTGTGCGGTGGTGCATGTGTGCGTGTGCGATTGCTTACGTACCATGACAACATGCAGACGAGGAGCGCAAGACGGCCGTGGAGGTCGTCAAGCGCGTTCGTCAGTCCCTGCGTGTGCCTCTCACCGTCGGCGGCGGCATCTCGTCCCTGGCCGACGCTCACAGCCTTCTCATGGCCGGCGCAGACAAGGTCTCCGTAAACAGTGCCGCCGTGCGTGACCCTACGCTCATCTCCTCGCTGGCCACCTGCTTCGGCTCCCAGTGCGTCGTGTGCGCCATCGACGCCACCCAAAAGGCCGGTTCGTGCCCCCCCCTCCTTCTTCTCTCTTCCCCCACACTGCAGTCCTCCCCCTTCATTCTTTAGATGCCACCTGACCGCGCACCTTGTTTGCAGACAAGAGCGGGTGGGACGTGCTGGTGCGCTCAGGCAAGGAGAGCACCGGGCGTGACGTGGTCGAATGGGCCAAGGAGGCCGTGCTCCGCGGCGCCGGCGAGATCCTGCTCACCTCCTTCGACAGGTACTACCACCCCCCAGCCCTCGACTTCAACGGTTGCCATTTATTTTTATTTTTACTTATTTATTTACGCAATTACTAATAATGAGCGCAGGGACGGGACGCGGTCGGGCTATGATACGGCTCTGCTGAAGGCCGTGGCCGACGCGGTCAATGTGCCGGTCATCGCCTCTGGTGGTGCCTCCACCGCCCACCACATGGTCGACGCCTTCAAGGTACCCGAACTCCCACCTCCTTCGTTCTTCGTTCTTCTTCGTTTTTCTGTGCGCAGCGGTCATTGATAGCTCACCGCTTCGCGGCGTGCCTTCGCTCAGGCGGGCGCCGATGCGGTGCTGGCGGCGTCGATCTTCCACAACGGCGAGACGACGGTGGCCAAGATCAAGCAGCAGCTGGCCGCTGAGGGCGTGAGCGTGCGCAAGCCCGAGGGACCCGCTGGCGGCCAGCGCCTCGAGTGCGAGGCCACGTTCAACAGGCAGTGCCTGGTCCCCTCGATCGACCTCATGAACGGCCACGCCGTCCAGCTGGTCGGCGGCGACCCCGCCAACAAGAAGCTCGACGCCGGCGACCCGGTGCCGCTCGCCGAGCAGTTCAAGCTCGTCGGCGAGATTGCGGTGGTGGACCTCGACGCCGCGCTCGGCCGCGGCGACAACGCCGAGACCATCAAGAAGCTCCTGACCGTCGCGCCCTGCCGCGTTGGCGGCGGCATTCGAACCGTCGACAAGGTGCGAGCTTGTGCATTTGTTACTGTACTCACTGGGCACCCGAACTAACGGGAGTGTGGGGAGTCAGGCTCTGGAGTGGCTAAACGCTGGCGCTGCCAAGGTGGTGATCGGCACGGCCGCCAAGCCCGACTTCCTGCGGCAGCTGCCCAGGGAGCGCGTGGTGGTCGCGCTGGACGCCAGGCACGGCGAGGTCGTCGTCGAGGGCTGGCAGACCAAGACCGGCAAGAGTGCGTTGACCCATTAATAGAGTTCTATTTTTTATATTATTTTTAATTTCCCTTTAATCTTTCGATCGAAATGCAGATGTGAAGGATTGCATTCGCGATCTGGTGGAGTACGCCGGCGGTTTCCTGATCACCTTCGTCGAGCGCGAGGGCCGCCTGGCCGGAATCGACATCCCCGCCATCGAGGAGCTTGTTGCGGTTCGTCTTTGGCTTCTTGCACGTTGCAATGTATTGAATTGTCTGGAACTCACGGCACGGTGTGGCACATGATGACCGTGCAGGAGGTGCAAAAGACGCCTTTCGCCCGCAGCACGCAGATCACCATCGCCGGCGGCATCACCACCGAGGCCGACCTCGCCGCTCTCGACGCCCTCGGCGTCGAAGGCCAAGTGGTACTCATTTCTTTCTCAATTTACTTTGATTTTTTAAGTTTACATCATTAATTTTATTTATAATCATTTTAATATTAAACACATTACAACGAATCAGGGCATGGCGCTGTACACGGGTCGGATGGACCTGGGCGACTCAGTGGGCGCTCTGCTGAGGAGCGACCGGCCCGACGGTCTGTTCCCGACGGTGGTGGCCGACGAGCGCGGCGCGGTGCTGGGCATGGCCTACTCCAACCGCGAGACCCTCAAGCTGGCCATCAAGGAGAAGAAGGGCATCTACTACTCCCGCAAGCGCGGCGTCTGGCGCAAGGGCGAGACCAGCGGCGCCATGCAACAGCTCCTCAAGGTCACACCCGACACACGGCACACGCGGCACACGACACACGTGCTGACTTGTCCGCGTTTAGGTGGATGTGGACTGCGACCGAGACACGCTACTCTTCACCGTGCGCCAGTCCGGCCAGGGCTTCTGTCACCGCGCCTCCTACAATTGCTTCGGCGAGGGCGAGCGGGGTACGCCCCTGATCGTCATATCTTGAATTTTATTAATTAATTATTAATTTTTTGTAACCAAAAAAATCAGGCCTTTCGGGGCTGATGCGTACTCTGGCCTCGCGCAAGCAGTCGGCTCCCGAGGGCTCCTACACCAAGCGCCTCTTCGACGACCCCACCCTCCTCAAGGCCAAACTGCTCGAGGAGGTACGTACCCCGTGTGCGTGTGTGTGCGTGTGCGTGTGCACAGAATTGATTGGTGTTGGTGGTGCGTTTACTAAGCTCCGCGGCAGGCTACTGAGCTCGCCGATGCTGAAGGCAAGGAGCACGTCGCCAACGAGGCGGCCGATCTTCTCTACTTTGCGCTGGTGGCCTGCACCAAGGCCGGCGTCACCCTGTCCGACGTCGAGCACGTCCTTGGTACCCTCTTACGTCTTCGCTCTCTCTGTTTTTTCTTTTTCGTTCTTTCTAACTCCGAACCCGCGCAGAGGCGCGTTCGCTCAAGGTGGCGCGCCGACCCGGCCACGCCAAGCAGCCGTTCCTCAACCTCGTCAACAAGCAGCAGCAAGAGACCGCGGCCGCGGCCAAGGCCAAGCAGGTCGAGAGCGAGAAGTCTGCGGCGAAGGAAAGCGAGGAGAAGGAGGTCGCCCTCAAGCGGCTGCAGATCGCCGAGGTGTGGGACCTGCGCCGTGATGTTGTCGACAAGAAGACCCGCGAGATCGTCGAGGAGATCCTGAACGATGTCAGGGACAAGGGCGAGGAGGCCCTCGTCCGCCAGTCCGTCAGGCTCGGTACTCGCTCCGCCACCTTAAACTTGACCACTGTGCCACCTTACCAACTGACACTGCGCCACCTTAAATTCACTGGCGCTGACCACCTTTGGGCGACAGGCGACCTCAAGTCCAAGGAGGAGCCCTACCTGCGCTCGCAGGAGGATATGAAGGCCGCCTATCTCTCGCTTACGCCCGACCAGCAGTCGCTCCTGCAGCGCACCGCCGACCGCGTCCGCGCCTTCGCCGTTGCCCAGAAGGCCTCCATCCAGTCCGTCCAGGGTACACCACTTTCCTTTAACCGTGCGCTGTGTGTGCGAACGTGCGTGTGCGGTCGTGCGTGTGCGTGTGCGGCATGTGTGTGTACAGAATTGATTGGTGTTGGTGCGCAGTGCCCATTCCCGGCGGTCAGGCCGGACACACGGTGGCGCCGGTGGACGTGGCCGGGTGCTACGCGCCCGGTGGCCGCTACCCCCTGCCCTCGTCGGTGCTCATGACCGCCATCACCGCCAAGGTGGCCGGCTGCAAGCAAGTCCTCGTCGTACGTTCTTCGTCTTCTCTCTTTCTCCCCCCCCCACTCTCTGGTCCCTTTTGCAATCCTTTTAACTCTGATCAACTCGACAGGCATCGCCCAACCCGGCACCCGTCACGCTCGCCGCTGCCTACGTGGCAGGCGCTGATTCGTTGCTCGGTATGTCACTCTGTTAGCTGTTCCTCTTCCGCCGAAGCGCTTGGTTCGTTGGCTAATCGCGACCTCGCCTGCTGCAGCTGTCGGTGGGGCGCAGGCCATCGCTGCCTTCGCGTACGGCATTCCAGGCAAGATCCCCTCGTGCGACGCGATCGTCGGCCCTGGTATGCATTTCATCGCACCATCGCACACGCACCATCGCACACGCACGCTCACTAATCGTTGTGTGTGTGGTGACTGCAGGCAACAAGTTTGTGACGGCGGCCAAGTCGCTGATCGCCGGCCGTGTGGCGATCGACATGCTCGCCGGTCCCTCCGAGTGCCTCGTGCTGGCCGACGGCACGGCCCACCCGGACGTCGTGGCGGCCGACCTGCTGGCCCAGGCCGAGCACGACGTGGCGGCCGTGCCCATCTTGGTGGCCTACGACGAGGAGACCGTGCGCCGGGTCGAACAGGAGGTCGAGGCTCAGCTCGCCACCCTGCCCACCGCTGCCATCGCCCGCGCCGCCTTCTCCAACGGTATTCACCGCACACACATCACCACATACACCGCACACGCACGACCGCACACACGAGACTGATGACGTTTGTGTGCCGCGGTAGGTTTTGCTGTGATTGTCGCGAACGAAGAGGAGGCCATCACGGTGTGCGACAAGCTCGCGCCCGAGCACTTGGAGGTCCACACCGCCAACGCGGAGGAGCTCTCGCGCAAGCTCAACCACTACGGTGCCCTGTTCGTAGGCAACAACTCGGCCGAGGTCTTCGGCGACTACGGCGCCGGACCCAACCACACCCTGCCCACCAGTACGCCCTATTTATTTATATTTATGAATTTATTCATTTATTTTTCGAGTTTTATTTGTTTTTTATCCTTGTTATCCTTGATGGGAATTAGTTGGGTTATTGTTGTTCGTTTATTAATTAATATTCAAATTTGGGAAAAAATTGCAGGCGGAACTGGTCGTTCGTTCGGCGGGTTGTCGGTCATGTCCTTCCTCCGTGTGCGCACCTGGCTCAACATCGACGACCTCAAGTCCCAGCCCGCGCAGCAGCTGGTACGCACCACACACGCGACACACGCACACGACACTCGCTGATGCGCGTGTTCTGGTGATCAGGTCCAAGATTCGGTCGATCTGGCGCTGCTCGAGGGACTCCACGGCCACGCGCGCTCGGCCCAGAAGCGCCTCGTCCCCAAGGACCAGGTCACCGCGGCGTCGTCGTCGGCGGTGGTGCCCATCCCGGCCGTCTTCGGATCGCCCCGCGAGCCGGTGGTCATCAACTTCGCCCTCCCCAAGGGCCGCATGATGGACAACGTCGTCACCCTGCTCAAGGGTGCGTCTCTCGTGTGTGTGTGTGTGTGTGTTGCGTGTGGTGTGTTGATGGGTTGCTGACGTGGCGGCTACGCGGACAGACGCGGGCATTTCGATCAATGTGGGCGGACGCAACCTGCGGCCCACCATCAACCTGCCCGGCTGGACGGTCAAGCTGCTCAAGCCCCGAAACGTCGTCGAGATGATCCACCACGGCACCCGCGACGTCGGCTTCGCCGGCATCGATCTCATCAAGGCACGACACACACACACACACACATACGCACAGGCACGACCGCACACGCACGATATGACACGCGCTGACCGTGTGCTGTCAACTGCAGGAGTTGGGCGCGGATGACGTGGTTCCCTACTTCGACACGGGCCTCGACCCGGTGCGCGTGGTGGTGGCGGCACCCGAGAAGCTTCTGGTCGACGGCCAGCTGCCCAAGCGCCACATGCGCCTGGCCACCGAGTACGTGGCCCTGGCCGAGAAGTGGGTCAAGGCCCACGGCGTCGACGCCGAGATTTACAAGACCTTCGGCTCGACCGAGGTCTTCCCGCCCGACGACGCCGAGATCATCGTCGACAACACCGCGACGGGCACCACCCTGCGGGCCAACCAGCTGGCCATCGTCGATGAGATCACCAAGTCCTCCACCTTCCTCTGCATCAACCGCACCGTACGCTACTGTCATCTTCCTCCACTTTTGTTGATGACTTGGCTCAACACACACACACACACCACACACACACACACACACCAACAGGCGCTGGAGGACCCGCGTAAGCACGCGGCGTTGGACGAGTTCGTGATCCTCCTGCAGTCGGCGCTCAACGCCCGCGAGAAGGCCCTGATCGAGTTCAATGTCGAGAAGTCGTGCCTGGAGTCGGTCATCGCGGGCCTGCCCTCGATGAAGCGGCCCACCATCTCGACGCTCTACGGCGACGAGGGCTTCGCCGTGCGGTCGGTCATCCCTCGCAAGGCGCTCGTGAGCCTCGTGCCCTGGATCAAGGCCAACGGCGGGTCCGACGTCATCGTCACCGAGATCAAGCAGGTCATCGTCTAGACCGTGAGAGACTTGACTTACATCACCGCATCATCAACCACGAGCCACTTCACTTTCATGTAAGTGAACAATCACAGCACACCAACACTGAGCATTGCACCATGAGCAAGTCCACACGTTCAGAGTTGTGCAAGAACTCCTCTGGAGTTTGCTTTGTGTTCATTGTGGCGGAGAAGACAGAAATGATGAGAGTTGGAGTTGTTGGTGTTGTTTCGTTCTTAGGAGGAGCAGCAGGTCTGGAAGATGTTCTTCTTGCTTGGTGGCTCGAGCTTGATGATGCCGTCCTTCTTCTTCTTCGCGTCTAGGTCATCGTCCTCCAGCTGCTGCGTGGCCCCGAAGATCGGATCGATGTCGCGGTGCTTGACCTCCTTGGCCAGCTTCATGAACATGTCCTCCACGGCGATGCCGGTCTTGGCCGACGTCTCGAAGTAGTGGAAGCCGTTGTCGGCCGCCAGCTTCTGGCCCTCCTCGGTCGAAATGACCCGGCGGTCGGCCCGGTCGCACTTGTTGGCGACCAGCACCTTGCACACCTGGCGCGAGGCGTGCTGGTCCAGGCTCTGCGCCCAGCCGCTGATGGCCTGGAAGCTCTTGGCGTCGGTCACGTCGTAGACCAGCGCCACGCCCTGCGCGCCCCGGTAGTACGCCTTTGTAATGGTCCCTGTTGTCGATTGGTTGCGAGAATTCAGAGGTTAGTGACACAAAAAAATTGGTTCGTGATTGGTTGGTGAATAAGTTGCAATGTAATGATTGGGTCCGCGGACGTACGGAAGCGCTCTTGGCCGGCGGTGTCCCAGATCTGAAGTCGCAGGCGGGCGCCTTCGACGGCGACCTCACGCACTCGGAAGTCGATGCCGATGGTGGGCAGGAAGGAGGGCTTGAACTCGTCGTCGGCGAAGCGGAGCAGCAGACACGACTTGCCCACGCCCGAGTTGCCGATCATGAGCAGCTTCACCGTGGGTGCTCGCTTGCCCGTCGAAGGGGTCGATGTGGTGGTGCTGGTACCCGAAATCCAGGAAGAGTTCTTGCTGTGGTTGTCCATGCTGTATCGGTAGTTGTTCGAGATCTTCGACATCAGATCGCTCAAGCTTGTGTGCTGCTGTGTGTTTGTTGTTCAAACAAAATCACTGTCATCAGCTTGGCCTTTTGTTGTGCCCATACATCAACAGAAGCGTTCTCGGCCGCTTGAAGCAAGTTCGCGGAAAAGAGTTATCGCCACCTTAACCAGTCCTCAAGGAAAAAATGAAAAACAGTTAAAGAAAGAAAATAAAAATATAATGGAGGGGAAGGTGGTGCGGTGCGGAGGAGGCCTCTCGTTTGTGGAGACGGACGAGGTGGGTCTGGCACCGGCCCTGTTCGATGGGTGGGGCCTCAAGGCCTACCAGCCCGTCCTACTCGAGGCGGCACCCTCGAATCGCGTAGAAGCTCAAAATCTTCCCCGATTCGTGGTGGCCGCGGTGCCCTCGAGCGGTGGGCTGAGCCCCACCGAGCTGCGCGTGCACAACGATCTTTTGCATCGCTTGGTCGATCGATTCGGCTCATCCACGGCTCACATCTCCACAAATCTCAATCACTCCGGTACCTGCTGCCCACACTGACAGAAGCTTTACGTGGCCGCCAAGCGGCTCATCTGGATGTGTAGATGCCACGGCGTCGGAGGTCGAGGCGGAGCTCGTGGGTCCAACCGGCCTAGACCGGCTCGGCACGACGGACGACGTGTTCGCGGGCGCGCTGCGGCGCCGAATGGCCGGCAAGTGGAGCGGCGTGGGCTGCACCGTGCTCGTCCCCCTCGTGGGCAGGACGTACGAGCTCGTGGTGCGGCGGGTCGTGACCCAGAGCCCCGTGGCATTGTCGTCGGTCGACAGCACCACCGCCACCACCACGACCGCCACTGGCGCAGATAGTGCGGCGCCGGTGCAGCTCTTTGCCCTGACGCGCGAGACACAGTGGCGCATCGTGCCGAGTCGGTCCACTGCAACAGCAAACAGGCCGGTGGCGCTGTCGGACGAAGAGCCGCTGTCGGAGATCGAACGACAAGCGCGCACCCTACTTGGTGAGTGCTCCTTCTCTTACACCGCGACACATACACACACAATTGATAGGTTGATTGGGTGGTTGATTGGTCGTCAAATTGACAGAACTGGAGATGCGACGGAAGTCTCTGGGCAAGAGCACGGCCGGCATGGGCATCAGCGTGGGCAGCGGCGTGCTACTGACGGGCGTTGCCGGCGTTGGGAAGTGGAGCGCAGCGCAGCGCATCGCCAGGGCCATCGGAGCCGAACTCATCGAGGTGCGGTCCAACAGCTCCTCCTTGGTAGACAGCGAAACCGGCAGCGGGCTCACCGTTTGTGAGGCCACAGATCAACCTGGCGTCGAGCCGCAACAGCCTCAACGCGGTGCTGAAGTCGACGCTGCAGCGGGTGCAGAGCGCGGATCACCACACGCCGCAGCGGCCCGTGCTCGTTGTGCTGCGCCAGCTCGAGGTGTTTGCCGCGCCGCCGGCCGACGAGGATGCGTCGCACAAGTGGTCGTCCACCTCCACCTCATCGGGCGGCGACAAGACCAGCGCCGCCTCGCGTCTGCTCGATTTCGTAGACTCGCTCGCGCTGCTCCCAGGCGTGGCGATCGCGGGCCTGCTGCGCCAGGGCTACACCCTGCCCTCTGCCTTCCTCCGACCGCCCCGTTTCGACCACACTTTCAGCATCCCGGCCCCGGCCGCTCCGGCCCGCCTGCGGCTCCTGCAAAGCTTCCTCGGGCCGCACAGCCCGACCGACGCCGATCTCCGCTATCTCGCCGAGGTACCCCAGTTGCCGCTGCGCTGTGCTTGAGTCAGCATTGAATGTGTTGTTGTGTGGTGCGCAGGCGACTCAGGGCTATGTGCTCCGGGACCTGGTGCGATTGAGCCGGCGCATTGCGCTGCTCGCGCGGGTGCGGGTTAAACAGCGAAGCGACGACGACGGGCAGCAATCGGTGGGTGTGGCGCCGAGAGTGGAGCGACAGGACATGGAGGTGGCGATGGCCGCCGTGCGACCCTCGCAAATGTTCGAGCTCACCGTTCGCCCTCCGCGCGTGAGCTGGGACGACGTCGCCGGCTGCGAGAACGCGCGGCGCGAACTCGAGGAAGCCGTCAAGTACGTGTCTCTGCCTCTTATTTATATTTCCATAATAATGATTATATTTGCCTTAATATTGGAAAATAATAATATAACAGGTGGGGCTTGGCTGCGGACAAGAGTCCTCTGCTGGCTTCTCTCGCCCAGCAGGCCGGCGTGTTGTTGTATGGCCCCTCGGGCTGCGGCAAGACACTGTGCGCTCATGCCTTCGCCTCGGCGCTCCACCTTCCCTTCATTTCCATCAAGGGGTACTCTTGCTCTCACCTAGTCGCGTCTGCACCACCTGTTCGCACGCGGCTCACACACCCCAACGCGGCAGGCCGGAGCTTTACTCCAAGTACCTGGGCGAGACGGAAGGACTCATTCGGCGGCTGTTCGAACGTGCTCGACAGGTCGCTCCGTCCGTCATCTTCTTCGATGAGATCGACGCTCTCGCACCCACGCGAAGCGGCGACACGGAGGGGATGGGCGGTATGGGCCAGCGCGTGCTGAGCCAACTGCTCAACGAGATGGACGGTGTGAGTGCGCGATCGGGTGTGCTTCTGCTCGCCTGCACGAGCCGCCCCGACTTGCTCGACCCCGCGCTCCTGCGACCAGGCCGCTTTGAGCGACTCGTCTACGTGGGTCCGCCGACGCCGGTCGCCCGAGTCCACCTCCTCCAGGTAAGTACTCGCGCCCTCAGCTCACCAGGCGTTGATCACTGATTGACGGCTACAACTACGTGCAGATTGAGCGAAGACGAAAGGTCCCGTTCGCAGCCGACGTCGCGGAAGACAAGTTTGCGGCCATCACGGACGGGCTTACGCCTGCAGAGATCTTGGCTTGCTGCCGGTACGTGTCGACCTGGCCAACTACCACCGTGCAGTGGCCCGCGAACACTAACTCGTTTGTTCTTGTTGGCGCGGGGTGCAACAGGGAAGCGGCACTGCTAGCGCTGACGGAGGACATGAACGCGGCGGAGGTACGATGGCAGCACGTGGACGCGGCAGTCAAGCAGCGCCGTCAAACCGGTGGCCTGTCGCTGACCGAGGAGGCCCTGCTGCCCTACAACAAGTTCGCCCACAACCGGCGCACCTGAACCCAGTGTTTCGGCGGAAGGTAAAATTCGCGGAAAAAGCTTACCTGCAATTTCTCGTCATTTCTCGACCACGAGCTTCTTTTCTTTCTTTTCTTTTTTTGCTTTTTGGTTCTCTTGGGTGATCATCTGCGCGGCATCATCGCTTGATCGTTCGAATCCTTGGCCAGCTTTTTGATCACTTCTCCCTTTTCGTCGCCATCTTTCTTCTACACATCATCGTTCATTTAAGGCTCATTCACATCACCCGAGAGAAATCATCATGACGTCCTTCCCGCCCCCTGGATTCGAAAACATTAGCCGCGCATCGGCAATCCTCTTCGACAATTTCGATGCTGACGAGGTGGTGCCTCTCGAGAACTCTTGGTAGCGCTTCCCCCCTCCCAGGCAACCGATGCTTTGGCGGCGTCACTCGTTGTTGCAGGTGATTGACACGAATTGGCTGACCGCAATCCCATGCATCCAGGTCGTTCTGGCACGACAAGTTCATTGGCCCTGGTCTGTCGGCCGAGGAGTACGAGGCCTCCCTCCAGAAGCTGTGCACATTCGGCACCGTCCAGGTACGTGTCCAATTCACCACCTTTCATCATCGCGAATCTGCAATCTCCCACACTCGAGCACACTGCCACACTGAGCGACACTCGCTCGCGCCACGTCGGAGGTGTCTGATCATCCTCATCGTTTGCCAATGCGCCTTACGCAGGATTTCTGGAAGTGCTACAACAATCTGCCACCCATCGAGAAGCTGCGCTTCAAGTCGAGCTTCCACCTCATGAAGTCGGGCATTTCGCCCCTGTGGGAGGATCCCAAGAACGCCAACGGCGGTTTCTGGGCCATGCGAGTCCGCAAAGACGACACATATCCTTTACTTCCGCAACACGCAACACGCAACACGCAACACGCAACACGCAACACGCAACACGCAACACGCAACACGCAACACGCAACACGCAACACGCAACACGCAACACGCAACACGCAACACGCAACACGCAACACGCAACACGCAACACGCAACACGCAACACGCAACACGCAACACGCAACACGCAACACGCAACACGCAACACGCAACACGCAACACGCAACACGCAACACGCAACACGCAACACGCAACACGCAACAACACACGCAGCACTGTCAGTTCTCCTTAACTCGCGAGTACTGCGTACGTGTGGAAGGAAGTCATTCTGGCGCTCATCGGCGAGCAGTTCGAGGGCTCGCTGGGCGAGGGCGACGAAATCTGCGGCCTCACGGTGAGCATCAGGCAGCACGACGACATCATCCGCATTTGGAACACCAACGCCAGCGCCAACTCATCGGGTCTCCTCGGCCGACTCAAGGAGATCATCCCCAAGGCCGAGCTGCGCAGCCCCTTCTACAAGGGTACCTCCCTAGCCAGTGTTGTGTGTTCCTGCGTGCAACACACTCGTGTCGTGTGTCGTGTGCCTGACCTCTTCTTTGTTGCACGCAGCCAACCGGGAGCACACAGACTTCAACAAGGATTTCCACGACGCCAAGAGGGACACCAACTAGATGAGCTCCTCCCTCCCGAGGGTACCTGTACACATCCGTCCACTTCACCTCTCGACACACGTAAGAGAAACTTCAAGAGGAAGGCTGGCGGAGGTAAGACAGAGAGATGATCATGAGAGAGATAGGAGAGAGAGAGAGAGAGAGAAGCAAAGGTGAGGAAAAAGGGAAGGAGGCGAGCACGAAGACGGAAGAAGAAGAAGACACAATTTTGAGGTGGACCCCACTACCTTGTAACCATCCTATTTATTACCACTAATGAAACAAACAAAAAAAGGTTGATCGAGTAGGAGGCTCTGGCATCTGCTGGCCTCAGGCTTTATGAAGGTGCAAGTAGGAGCATGGTGCTAACAACAACGGCGTGTGCAGTGGCGGCACAGCTTCAGTTGGGGCGAAGGGCGGCAAACAGGACGAAGTAGAGGAGCGCGAAGAAGACTGCGACGATGACCAGCGCGATGAGGATGATCGCCAGCTTGCTGCTCTTACTGCCGGTGTTCTTCGAGTGCAGGCTCTCCTTGATACGCTTGTCCGTATGCGCCTGGCAGTTGGGCACGGAAGAGTCAGCGACTGACTGCTCTACCTACCTCTTCGCTTCCACTACGAAAACGTAGAGCGAGTAGGACTTGCGAGGTTGGTGTCTAACCCATGTAGATGTGCCCGTACCTTGCGAACCTCCTTCTCGCCGATGCGGCGACGGTACGTGTCCACCTGCGACAAGTTCTTGCCTTTGGTCGCTCCCTTCCTCATCTTCTTCTCGAGCTGTTGAAGTTGTTGAAGTGGTTAGCGCTACACGGTTCTGCCGCTTCGGTCAGGAACCCAAAAAGAAACTCACCCTTTTCTCTTCTTCCTTAATCTTTTCTTTTTCGTGTGCTCAAATATTTTAGTGACATTCATTCCAAGAAAAGACAAACTATAAAACAAAGGCCAAGCCTCCAGAATCAGTTTTCGTTGAGCCCGGCAGCAAGAGAAGAGGCGCAAGCCCAAGCTCAGACACCTCGGCGGAAAAGAGAGCAATAAAATTAGGTGGTTTAAGAAATCAGAAAAAAAGATATGCAAAAGGATGACAAGGAGGTGAGGGTGGCGATGAACCTGCAGGACCCGCCCTATGGCTGCCTCACCAACGGCGCGCACTACCCTTTCACGCTCAAGGGCAAGACTTGGCCCACAGTGGTAAGTAGTACCTACCACTTAGAGTACTCGACTTCTTTCTCGTCGTACCCTCTTCTTTTCTTTTTAGACTTCTTCTTCTTCTTCGACTGCTCAATTAATTGAGTTGCGTGGCAGGACCACTACTTCCACGCGCAAAAATTTGCCGGTACGCCGCTGGAGGAGACCATCCGGCGGTGCAAGACGGCCAAGCAGGCCGGACGGGCCAAAGGCGCGCCCGTGCGCCAGGACTGGGACAAGATACGCCACAACGTCATGTATGAGGCGCGTGCTCCCAACCAACCATTGGAGGCGCGCGTGCACACAGACACACACATGTGTGTGGCGGGTCGCGGCTGACTGTGGCCTTGTGGTGGGCGTAGGGCCTGATGGCCAAGTTCAAGCAACACGCGGGTCCGCGTCGGGTGCTGCGATCCACTGGCACGGCCACCATCGTCGGCCTCATGGGCAAAGGCACGTCCACAAACACACACATTTGTCGGGTGTGTGTGCGATCGTGCGTGCGGTAGTGCGTGTGCGTGCGTGTCGTGTGAGTGCGGTGATGCGTGTGCGATGAGCGATGCTGAGTGAATGACTGAATGCCTGGCTCTGGTGGTCTGTGTGCAGAGGACTTCTGGGGCGCGGGGAAGGACGGTAAAGGCAAAAACAAATGGGGCGAGCTGCTGATGAACGTGCGCCTGCTCCTGGACGGCGCAGATGATGACGAGGACGAAGCGGAGGAGGAGGAAGAAGAGAAGAAGGCCGGTGGAAGAGGAAGCGGGAGACCAACGAAAAGACAAGAAAGAGAGGAAAGGGGGATGATGACGAAGAAGAAGAAGAGGAAGAGAAGCCAAAGAAAAAAGGGAAGAAAGAGAAAGCGAAGGAGGAAAAGGGGAAAGAGAAGAAGAAACAGAAGCACAAGGAAGAGAAGGAGGAAGCGAAGAAGAAGCTGAGGGGCGTCTACACCCAGTACGCCTCGGCCTCTTCTCTTTCCGACGCCAGAGTGGTCGGTGTGACAACGTGTGGCAGTGCTGATGGATTTCATGTACCATCTCATCTCCCCAGAGTCGAGTACGCGTCGAGCTGTCGGGCCAACTGCCGCGTGTGTTGGAACAAGATCCCCAAGGCCGAGCTGCGCATGGGCAAGCTGTCGTTCTCGCGCAAGTTGTATGTGTGCCTCTTCCTCGCAGCGCACCACCCAAGGATTGCGCAGTGTGCCCCAACCGCAACTAAAGTCTTGAATGCGACTGCTTAGCGATGGCACGATCTGCGAGTGGCACCACCTCAACTGCTTCCTCAAGCGCTACACTGTCGAAGCTGCCGAGGCGCCCTCCATCAAGTACTTGTTGGAGCCGAGCTTTGTCGTGTTGCCGTGAGCTGGTGTGCGTTGTTTTTTTTTAACTCTGCTGGCCGTGTGCAGAGGTCTGGACGACATCCGCTGGGAGGACAAGGAGAAGCTGCTCAACACGTTCGGCGCCTCGCCCAGCAGGAAGAGGAAGAGAGAGGCGGAGAAGGCGGTTGGAGGCGATGACGACGACGAAGACGAGGCCGAAGCGGAAGAGGGCGACGAGTCGGAGCCGCGGGACAACTTCGTGGAGGCAGGCGACGAGGAGGACGAGGCGATGAAGCTGCAGAACAAGAAGCTGTGGGCGCTCAAGGACGAGCTGCGCAAGAACTGCACGCGCGACGAGCTCAAGGAGCTGCTCGAGTTCAACAGCCAGCAGGCCAAGGGCGGCAAGATGCGCCTGCTCGACCGCTGCGCCGAGTGCATGCTCTTCGGGGCCATGCCCCTGTGTCCCGGTACGCGCTACCACCACCGCCCCACACCTTTTTTCCCTGATTGCTACCTACCGAGTGGTCATGGGCTCACCCTGTGTGAGCGAACGTCACAGAGTGCAAGACGGGCGTCATCGTGCCGTGGAAGGGCGTGTTCCGGTGCACGGGCTTTGCCACGGCGTGGAGCAAGTGCACATTCACCAAGGAGAGCATCGATCGCCTGGAGTGGAAGATTCCCGACAGCACCAAGAACGAGTATCTCAAAAACTTCAAGTTCACCATGGTACCACCACCACCGCCCGAAAAGCTGGTTGCCTTGTTGCGGTGTTGGGCTCATCAAATTATGTTGTGCACACATCTTTGCAGGAGAAGCAGGTGGTCAAGAAGGTGGCAGAGCCGGAGAAGAAGGAGAGGAAGAAGCGTACGTCGACGGCGCCCAGCCCGAAGAAGGCCAAGACGGTGAAGATGGTGGTCAAAGGCAACTCAGCCAGTACGTCCCCTCTTTCGTGTATATGTGCCACATGGTACGCCGGCTTATCCTGCCGCACTAGTTGACCCGAAGACCGGGCTCAGTGAGACCGGACGCATCTACGAGGAGAAGGACGGCACCAAGTACAACGTTGTGCTCAACATGAGCGGTACGCCGCACTTCCCTGGAATCGACTCAACCGGTTGTCCAGCGCGACTCTTTGTCTCTGACCGCACGCATTCTTCGCATACTTGCGAGCGCAGATGTGGTGACGGGAGCCAACGCGTACTACAATCTGCAGGTCATCGAGGACGAGAAGGCAGAGACGTGGCACTTGTGGCGCAAGTGGGGCCGCGTGGGCACGTGGGTGGGTTCGTCGAAGCTAGACAAGTGCGCCACCGCGCGCAAGGCCGTGGAGCTCTTCGAGCGGGTCTACCTGGACAAGACCGGCAACCGATGGGCCGACCGGGACGAGTTCGAGAAGCAGCCGGGCAAGTACTACCCGGTCGACATCGACTACGGGATCGACGAGAGCAGTCTCAAGGCCAAGGCCGTCGATCCCAACAAGCCTTCGCAGCTGCAGGACAATCGAATCAAGGTAGTCCCGCACACGCACACGCACCCGCGCCACCGCACACGCATGACTTGAACGAGTGTCGTGTGCCGCTGTGTTTTTTTATATAGGATCTGTTGGGTCTCATCTTCAACATGGAGAACATGGAGAAGACGATGGCGGAAATGGAGATCGACATCAACAAGATGCCGCTCGGTCGCCTTTCCGAGGCGACGATCAAGCGGGGCGTACGTGCCTGTCTGGCCTGCCCGTGTTCTCTTCGAACTGACCCACATTGCTGCGCACACACCCACAGTACACGGTGCTCAGCAAGATCCAGGAGGTGCTCGACGACACAGAATTGGAGGAGGCGCAACGCAAGAACAGCCTGATCGAGCTGAGCAACCAATTCTACACGTACGCCCCTCATCAATGACAAGAAGAGAAGTGGCTGGGAAGAAGTGGCCACGACTAATCACATTTTTCCCTTGACCTTGACCTTGTACAGCATCGTGCCGCACGCCTTTGGACTGTCGCGACCGACGATCATCGACCACCGGAAGCTGGTCAAGAACAAAATTGGTGCGCTGCCCCTCACTCGAGACCACATTCTCTTGAACAAACACGCCTGCTGATCCTGGGGCGTGGACCATGACAGAAATGCTGAACACACTGTCGGAGATGCAGCTCGCCATCAAACTTCTGCGCGAGGTAGGGCCAGTTCAGCGTCGTGTGTGCGTGTGCGTGTGCGGTCGTGCGTGTGTGGTATGTGCGAGGGCGAGCGGGCAGCTAAAATCGTGGGCCTGAAAATCAGGGCGAGGACACGGACGATGTGTTGTGGGCCAACTACCAGAAGCTCAAAACCAACATTGTGCCCGTTGCACCCGAGGAGAAGGAGTTCAAGATGGTGAGCAAGTACCTGCGACAGACCCACGCTCCATCGCACTCGCAGTACTCCCTCGAGCTCCTGGATCTGTTCAAGATCGACCGCGAGGGCGAAATGGCACGCTACGAGAAGTGGGCCAAGCTTCACAACCGCATGGTACGTGTGTGTCGTGTGCGTGTCGTTGTGGTGATGCGTGGACTGACGAAGCGATCGCCTTGGCAGCTCCTGTGGCATGGTTCGCGATTGACCAACTGGGCCGGAATCCTGTCGCAAGGCCTGCGCATCGCGCCGCCCGAGGCTCCTTCGACTGGCTACATGGTACGATGGTCATCACACAACACGACATGCGCAATGGCCACCACACACAACCGAGCTCACACAGTGGGCGTGTTGTTGATAGTTTGGCAAGGGAGTCTACTTTGCGGACATGGCGAGCAAGTCGGCCAACTACTGCTTCACATCGCGCGAGAACAATGTGGGCATCATGACCCTCTCCGAGGTGGCGCTGGGCGACATGTACCAGCTGCTCCACTCCAAGTACATGGACAAGCCGCCGGCGGGCTACCACTCGACCAAGGGCTGCGGTCAAACCGAGCCCGATCCGAGTACCGCAGTGCTCACCAAGGTGCCCGATGACGTGTACCGTAGAGCACACAGCATGTGGTGGTCACCAACGTTGGTGTCTGTTGTGATGTTGTTGCGGGTTGGGGCTGAGTACAGGAAGGCGTCAAGGTGCCGTGTGGAGAGCCGAGCAAGAGCGGAGCCGTCGGGTCAAGCCTGCTATACAACGAGTACATCGTGTACGACGTGGGCCAGATCAACATCAAGTACCTCCTCAAGGTCAAGTTCAGCTACAAGTGAAGGCCAACCTTGCCATGATAATTTTTGCGGACAATAACAAACAAAGATTTCGGGGTCGGCAACTTTCGTATTTGTGCAAGGCATCAAGAAGAGATCAAGGGATGGAGGATGGAGAGTTTCACAATGGCTCGGTTGGTGGCGATGAGCTGAGTTTGGTGATTGAGGCTACCGTAGATGAGAAACAGCAGCAAGGGGTCAAGCGGGCGCGAGATGAAGTAGAAGACGAACTGGTGATGGAGTATGACCTCGCCGAGGCCATTTCCCGCAATGAAGAAGAAGCAGATGAGACCGCCGCAACGCCCTCGGATGCCAAGCGTGCCAAGATCACGCCTGTTGAAGAGGTACGCCCCGCTTCGTCGGACTTGCAGGCCAAAATTAACACCATTCACCTGACTTCGCAGTACGACATCTCGGTTCGCGCGCCCCATGTGGAAAGCGTGCTCGAACTGCCGCCCGAGGTCATGCTCAAGATCTTTGTGTATCTTGGTTTCGTTGGTACATGTCTCACTGCACCTCTTGCATTGCTCATCTTGAACTGTCGATTAACCTTACTGGCAGATTTGGCCAACTGTGCTCTCGTGTGCCATCAATGGAAGGCCGTTTCAAGCGACGACGCCCTATGGAAGAGGTACTTACAGTTTGTAATCAGAAAAATCGAAATGGGAACTGAATGGCCTTCTTCTCCTTCAAGGATGTACTACGAGGTTTGGGGCACGAATGCGAAAACTTGGAAGCAGCTCTTTGCATCGCACTATCCCGACCATGAACAAATCGACATGCAGCAACTCATCCAAGGTGCGCTGCACGAATCGCGACTAACAGTTACATCTCGCTACGCGTGGAGAAAAGCGTACTGATGGGCTGTTGCCTTGCCGTGTGCAGCAATGACCAAGCCGAGAGGCAGCAGATCGAGGCGCAACATCATGGGCCTGTACAGGCTGGACAAGAGCTACGACGGCAAGATTGACAATCTCGAATACCCGACGCTCTTCCGGGACGTGTGGGCTCTCTCGTCGGTAGACCTGAAGAGGATCGTCGCCAACGAAGTCGGTCTCACCGCCCGTGCCGACCTCCCCGTGCCGACCTCTTTTGAGCTGGTACGCTCCTCTGGTCACTCTCCTCGGCACTGTACCCTTCTCTCGAAACGCCAAGTGGCTTACGTGCCCTTTTGTACATGCAGAGCATTACAATGCAACGGTTTGGAGGGACCTCGAGCTGGAAGGAGATCACGAGCTACGACCGAGCGCAGACCATTCTGTGGGAGATGCTCCGCTACGAGGGCAACAGCGAAACTAAGACCTGGATGTCGGAGGACGAGGCCAACAGCTGCACCGAGTGGCTGTTTGGCTATTTCCCCTACAAGACGATGAGCGACCAGCAACTGCGCGCGATCATGGCCAGCAAGGCACTCGAGAAGGCAGCCTGGCAAGCCAGGCATGGCCAGCAGGACGAGCAGGAGCAGGAGGAGGTCGTCGAGGCCGGAAACGAGGAGGAGCAAGAAGAAGAGGCGGTCGTACGGATGCCTGGCGCAGGCGTCGTGGGTGTCGGCGAGCGAGTCCGCGCGTCACAAACTGTACACTACCGGTTGATCGGTGGCGAGCTCATCAGGGACGACGTGGACCACGATGATGAAGAAGAGGAGCACGGCTATGCGATGGAAAGCCTAGCCCCTGCAACGACGACCTCCTCTACCACAACCACCTCCACGACCACGACGACGGCCAACAACGACAATGCCATCCTCGAGGAAGAAGTGCTCGTGTTCGACGAGAACAACAACTCTGCGCCTCCATCGTCTGCACCCGCTCCCGAGGCGGAGGACAAGACCCTGACCGAAGACGTGCACGTGGTAGAGATGGAACCGATCCAGGTAAGCGAAGTCATCATCCACGAAGGGCACCCGAACGTCTCCGGTGCCAACAACGACTCTTTCAAGGAGGAGATCATCTTGGAGGAGGAAGAGGAGGGAGTGCAGCCCGAATGCGAGCCCATGGCCGAGGAGATCGTCGTTATCGAAGAGGCGGAGCCCGCTGTTGGCGAGGAGCTGGCGCAGCAGCCACCGGAGCCGACCCTCAACGAACCGAGCGAAGGCGCAGTGCGCCCCGAAGAGTCCGTGACCGCCGACGCCATGAACGCCATCGCGACGGACGCCGCGGCGGCGGCGGAGGCCGAGCCGCCCAAGCCCACCGATGAAGCCGCGGAGGGAGAACAGGAGATTGCGCCGGAGCCGAGAGGCCGGAGCCAGGTGGCTCGATTCTTCCACACGGGCTCCTTCAAGGTGGCCAACGACGGGACCTTTGTTTACGGCTTCGCTGCGATCTCGTCGTCGCGCTTCTGCACCTACTGGCTCGTGGCCGAGGACGCCGACGACAGCACCTTCGCCTTTTAATCGCGCGATCGCCACGAGTCGCCCGACGTCGGGGGTCGCTCCCAAGCAAACCATCATCGCGGCCGAGGCACTGGGATACCAACCGAGAGAGCGAGAGACCGAGGAAGAAGCAGCACGGCCGTTCCGGGGTAGGTACATCTATGTGTGTGCGCGCTATCGGGCGCACTCTCTTTCCTCTCCATTCCCTTGCGTGGTGGCAGTGTGTTGCGTGCGTGTGGTGTGTGTGTCACTGTGTCGTGTTTGTCTTGTGTTCGTTCATTTGTTGTGGTGTCGTGCCCCTTCCCCTCTTTCTCCTTCCTCCTCTTTCGTCCTGTTGTATTCTTCGTTGTTGATCAACACGAGCACACTTCGCCTCTCTCTGCTTCCCCTCTTCCTCTCCACCTTAATTTTTGGCATGTTGGCAAAGCCACCCACCAACCTCTACCGCCAACCAGTCCGGCTTCTACAACGAGACAGCGCCCCGACCGTGCCCCCTATCCCCTCATCATGGTGTACGGCCCAGCACCAGCCTCGGCCGCTGATCAGTTCGGGCTCCTCGGTCCATGATCTGGTTGTGTCGCGTCGCGTCGGCAAAAGGATGTTGGCCGCGAACCGGAAGCCGCCGGGAATTGGGTGAGTGAGGTCGGCGGTCCGGTGTGGAACGGAAACCTGGCAAGTTATCGACATCCACGCTTTCAGACAATCTACACCGCACACACCGCACACACCGCACACACCTCACGGCACACGGCAACCCACAACAGCCGCTGGTTGAACCTGAACACCCGAGTTGATGCTGGTCGAGAGCGTGCCGTTCTGCGTCCACTGCGACACGTTGCCCGCACCTCCTGCGCACCTACCAGCTTTCAGGCAAATGCACACGACACGGTGGAAGGCACGTACCAAAGGCGTGATTTTAAGGGCGCACATTGATTGCGACTGCGCCGTTCTGCGTCCAAGAACCACCCGACACATGCACCGCCCCTGCAGACCAGATCGAAACTGCCGCCAGCGGCTTGTCGAAGACTACAATCGCAGCCATGAAGAAGATCCACGCACCCCGCACGCACGCACGCACGCACACACGTAAGCGCCGTATCATGAGTCCACTGGGGCCAGGTGGCATTGCGCACGCGCATCACGAGGTCTCCATTCTGCTCTAGCCCGTGCTCGTGATATGTATGGCTAGAGGCAGCAGATCACTGTGAGACAGGGCGCATTCTCCAGCGAACATGACACTCACGACACACACCCTAAACACGCGATGCAGGTCTCAGGACGTCGTCGATGTTGAGGGTCAAGTTGGAGCTCACCGTGAGCCAGGGCGAAGTCGCTGCCCTGGCTCGCCAGAGACAACACGCTGGGCTGCTGTGGGGCAGTTTGTGTAACCAACTAACCAAGCCAAAATTTTTTTTTCTGTTTTTTTCTCTGTTTCGACGAAGATGGAAGGCAGCAAGCCGGTGCGGCACCTTCCTCCCGGGGGGGGGGGCTGGTGGTTGAAGCTCACTGCCTGCCCCCTCTAACCACCAGGAAGAGCTGACTGCGCAACAGAAAAAGGCGCGCCAGGAGCAGCTTCTCACGTGCACCCTGTGCCAGTCGCAGCAGTGCACCTACTACCAACTGCAGACGAGGTCCGCCGACGAGCCCATGACCACCTTCGTCACATGCCACAACTGCGGTCGTCGCTGGAAATTTGTGGTGCAACTTTAGTGGAGTAAGAAAAATGATTCTTAGGCGTAAGTGCTGGTGTTGGGTGGTTGGGCTGCCACGTCGGCCGTGGCGGCCACCTGCACACCGAATCGCTCCTCCCACACCTTCACCATCGCGCCCTTGTGCTCCGCCCCATAGCCCTTGTCCAGCGCCTGAGCACCGCACAGTGAGCGCACATTCACACACTACCGCACACGCACACACGACGCGACAGGCAGACAACAGAGACAGGGCGGTGGTGCCTCTTTGTAGGTTTGCATGGTGCCGGCGACAACGGAGGGCAGGTGGTCGGCCTGGAGTCGGGCGTGCACGAGCTCCTCGAAGGTCTGCATGTCCTTGAACGCCGCGGCGAGCGGATAGCCGCCCTTGCCCGCCTCAAAGTTGCGGGCCAGCACGAGGCCCGCGAACGAGTCGAACCCGAAGCTCTGCCCACTTCCCTTGCCCACCACTTTGGCACCACACAGCACACGCACACGCACACGCACACGCACACGCACACGCACACGCACACGCACACGCACACGCACACGCACACGCACACGCACACGAGGAATGTCAGATATGTGTCCATAAAACATTGGCCTTCCGCACGGCACACGAACCTTCGCTGAACTGCTGGGGATCGAGCCCGAGTCGTGTAGCGACCGGCAGTATCTCGGCCATGGCCGCGATCGACACGTTGAAGAGCACGTTGTTCAACTGTGTGTTGTGTGTGTGTGTGTGTGTGTGTGTGTGTGTGTGTGTGTGTGTGGCGAGTGTGTTTCGGGCGTGTGCGATGTGATATGAGTGCGCACATTCACTAATCCTGAGTATTGCGCAAGACTCGGTGTCGCTTACCATTTTGGTCAGTTGGCCGTTGCCTGAGGCGCCCAGGAAGGTCACCTCCTTGCCCATGGCCCACAAGGCCGGCTCGACCACCTCGAACGCGCTTCGGTCGCCACCAACCTGCGGTTGTGTGCGTGTGCGGTTGTGCGTGCGTGTGCGGTGAGCGAGGTGAGTGCGGTGGTACGCGTTGCGCGTGCGGGTGTGGGTGTGGGGGCGGAGCGCTCACCATGATGGACAGGGTGCCGGCTTCGGCCTTGGCCACCATGCCCGACACCGGGGCGTCAAGGAAGGTGATGCCCATTTCGCGCAGACGTCGCTCCGTCTCCTGCGTCCACACCGGATGCGAAGTACCGCAGTCCACCAACACATGCCCTGCACCCGCCCATGTGCGTGCGGTGAGCGCGTGTGCCGTGTGTGCCGTGAGTGCCGTGAGTGCAACGAATGTCAATGCACGGCGTTCGCTGATCACACATACCCGGCTTGAGAAAGGCTACGAGGCCGCGATCGCCTTCATCGGCTGACGACGACGACGAAGCGGAGGAGGAGCCAAACAGGACCCGCTGCAGAATGGTGTAGTCCGGAAGACAGAAGATGATGCGGTCGCACTCCTGGGCCAGCTGCCGCAGGCCGCCGGCCGCGACCTGCGACGGAGGGAAGGTCTCCTCCACCCGCGCCAGGCACGCGTCGTAGACCAACAGCGCGAAGCCCTTCCGCGACAGGTTCAGGGCCATGCCTGCCGGCGTGAGTTGAGGGGGGAAAGGGTTCATTTTTAGGTCCGGAAGGTGGTTTGGACACGATATATGGAGTAGTACCTCTGCCCATGTTGCCCACCCCGATGAAGCCCAGTTTCGCGCCAGTTGGACGAGGCTCAATACTTGCCGCACTTGCTCCCTCCATCTTCGTTCTTCGCTTCTCTCTTCCTCGCCGTTATCTCATTTATGCCTTATTTTTCTTTTCTTCTTTTCTCTTTTATTTTATTTTTGCCAAAAATTTCAAAATTTCAAAATTTTCGTTTGCGATTTGACCGTTAGTGTGGTTGCACAAAGCAAAGGCTGCAGAAGGATGAAGAGGAGGCGCGCGGGAGATGTGGCTGAGGGCGTGGAAGGTGAAGCGGCGCAGGGCGGTGCAGGCTTTGACACGGGCGCGCGACACTACCGCGACACCAAGCAGGTCAAGAACGACCTTAAGGCCATACAAGGTGCGCACACCAGCTGCCCTCAATGCACTGCACTACATCTTATTTATTTTTATTTGTACTTGACAATGGCCAGAGCGAACACTGGCCGTTCTTATGTCCGCCGAGCCGAAGGAAGAGACTCATGAAGGTATTGAATTATATAAATTATATAAATTATATTTATATTTACAGTAAAATTGCATATGACTGTTTTCCTTCGTGTAGACGCGCCGACTCTGACCGCGCTGATGGCGCTGGGAATCGACCGCGACGACGCCCAGGAGCGAAGCTGGAAGGTGAAGGCGGGTCAGTGCGCCGCGTGCCTCGCCGGCGGCGGTGAAGACGACGCGTCGGTCCTCGAGTGCAGCTACTGCCAGCGCGACATCTGCCTGGCCTGCCTCCAGCGCTGCGAGCTCTGCCAGCAGCTCTTCTGCCCCACCTGCACCACCACCAAGTACCACCTCCTTCCTTCCGCGTGTGCGTGTGTGTGTGCGGTGTGTTGACGCGGTGCGTGCGTAGTCATGAGCTGCGACAGGACCGTGTGCTGTGTCTGTCGTGTAACACGGAAGACCTGAAGCAGATGCATGACCACCAGCAGCAACAGCAACAACAGCCGCAGCACGCGGCCCACCCGGACGATCAGCCGCAGCCCATGGACGAGGTCCCGGCCCAGTGATGCGACGTGTGCGTGTGCGTGTGCGTGTGCGTGGGCACCATCGAAAAAGAAGCGCTTTTATCGAGTTTGTGTCAACAAATCATCCATCTGGACACACGTCTCTCGTCCTCCCTTCTTCATTGGCTGCCCTTTGAGCATCATCACCACTGCCTTGTGGTGGTCTGCACACAGTTGGCCGGCCGGCCGGCCCGAGACTCAGTCGTCGGCCGAGGGCGCGCGGATGGGCGTTCGCCGCGTGGGTCGCTGGGAGAGGGCGCTGCCGGCGCTCACCAGCCCGAGAAAGGCCTCGGGACCGGCGCCCTCCGGCACGTTGAACCCCTTGGCCGCCGATCGACTGGCTCCGCCGCCTCCGCTCCTCCTCGCGCTCGACCTGGTGCTCTTGCTGGGCGGCGGCGGCGACGTGACGGCAGCGGCGGCGGCCGACTCTCTCCGCCTGGAGCGCGATCTGGTGCTCTTGCCGGGCGGAATGGCGGCGAGCTGCTCGCTGGAGTCTGCATCGGTCATCATCTCGACGCTGTCTTCGTCTTCGTGCATGTCCAGGCTGCTCCTCCGCACCCTGTCCTCGCTCTCATTCTCCTGCGTCGACTCTCGGCCGTCTATCAGGCTTCGAGTCCGCCTCCTCTTGCTGCCGCTGCTGCTCGTCTGCTTCTCCTCCTTTACCTTCTTCTTTTCCTTTTCCTCCTTTTTCTCGTTCTTCTCTGACTTCTCGTCTCTGTGCTTCTTCGTACGCGGCGAGTCGTCGTTGTCGCCCGACCCCGCTGCGTAGTGACCACTCCCGTTGGCTCGCTGTGGTGCGTGTTGGTCCGTCGCATCGGCGTCGTCCCTTGGCCTTTTGGCCTTGCGCGAGGCGTCGCTGCTGTTGCGCGCCGGCGACGCGGCCGTGGGCGGCGGGTGCGCTCGCTTGCGGCAGCCCACGCAGGGGCACATGTGGCGGCAGATGGCGCAGCCCTCGGGGTGCACGATGCCGTCCCACTCGGCGTGCGCGTTGGCAAACTCGACGTTGAACAGCTTGCGCAGGCAGCCGTCGCAGAACCGATGCGTGGGCCGCACGAGGCAGGTCACAAAGTCGATCTTGCGCGTCTTGCAGTTGTGGCAGTTCTTGCCGTGCTCCTTGCGCAGCTGTTTGAGCGACCTGCGGATCTGGCCGGAGGCGGCGGCGGCGGCCAAGACCTGCGTCTCCGTCACGACGGGCTGGTCGACGGCGACGTCGCCCACGCCACGGGGCGACGCGAGCTCCGTGGCCGATCGGGGGACCAGCACCGCCACAGGGAGTGACTTGGCCGCTGACACGGTGGTGGTGTCAACCGTGGGGTGGTCGTTGGCCTCGACCAGGGTGAAGGTCTCCTCGTCGGCGTTGTCCTCGGGCGGCGGCACGGCGGCGGCGCTTTCCCGGGTCTGCTTGGCCTTGGCCACCGCGCGCCTCTTCTTGTTGGCGTTCGCAATGATGCGCATCGACTCGTGCCGTTGATCGTATTCATCGTCGTCTTCCTCCTCTTCCTCGTCGACCTCTTCTACCTCCTCCTTCCTCCGCTTCTTTCTGATGTCGGTCTCCAAAGGCTTTCGCTCGAGTCCTCCCGAATGGCGCCGGGACGAGCGACGCGCGACCGAATGCATTTTGGGCGTGTCGAGGGCGCTGCTGCCGGAATCCGGATCTTGTTCGCTGTCGTCGTCGGCCGCCTCTCGCTCCTTAGTCGCGGCCATGACGTCGGCGGTGGTCTCGGCGACGGTGAGCTCCTGCTCCATCAAACGAGCCGACCGGCGTCCGATTGTAGGCGGCGACGTATGCGGCGAGAACGATGTGGGCGACGCGGGCGACGGTGAAGTAGCCACGGGCGCCGGCTTGCGCTTGCCGCGGACCTCCCAGGTGCCCTTGTAGACCTCGACGTCGGGCGAGCAGTAGCGGGCCGGCACTCGCCTCTCGGTGCTGCCGCGAAGGGATCGGCCCTCCTGGAATCCGCCCAGCTTGATTGGGGATGGCGACTCGGCGGCGGGGATGGTGCCGGCCCGAACGAGCGGGTGCTGCGACGCGGCGGCGAGAAGGGCGTCGAGCGGGCTCTCGACTCGGCCGTCGTCAGCTGTGCGGTATGGTGGAGTCGTCGGGCTACTCTCGGTGTCGGCCATCCACATTGATGAAGATTTGAACTGCTGATGAAGCTCTGGCACGCCGTAGCCCAGACCGAGATTGGCCGCCCGAGCCACGACCATCTTTGCGGTATGTCGGTCCGCTGGCGAGATGTCGTCGCCACCCGCGGCATCTTGGAGAATGGATCTCAAGATGTGAGGACGCACCAAGGCCCGGGAGCCGGCATTCGATTGAGCGCCCGATCCATCCAAGCGGCAGGCCGCCGTGTCGTCGAGGGCTTGGGCCAAGTCGCCCGAGTAGAGGAAGGCCAGCAGCAAGCGGAGGGCGCTCGGGTCGTCCGGCACCGTCGCCTGGAGCTCGACCACGGTCCTGCGACTGCCCCTCTGCGTCGGCTCCCCTTCCTCCTCGAAAACGTCGAGCACCTTGAGCTGCTGTCTGTCCTGCGTCGTTGTGTCTCCATCCCCTCCACCTCCTCCTCTTATCTCTCCCGCTACTTGTTCTACTTTTCCTTCTCGAGCTTCCTCCTCCTTGTTGTTGCTGTGTAGTTGGCAAAGCTGGGCCAGGGCGTCGGACCAGGCCGCCACGACTACTCGATGAACGTACACCTCCAGCTCGGGCGCAGCAGGCCCCCTGGTCGGCGAGGGTGAAGGAGAAGGTGGAGACGGCGGAGAGGAGGGTTCTTCCCCGGAGCCCTGCAAGAGCTCGGCTCGAGTAGAAGCGTCGTGGGGCGGCCACTGGCAGCGGAAGGCGAGGTCGCTCCACGTCGGGTCGTCAAAGGCCGTACGCAGGCGGCGCTGGAGTAGCCCTCTGCCCTCTCGCATCTCCTCCAGTTCGTGCTTGTTGTCCTGCTCGCGCGGGTGTGGGATGTCCCGACCGGCTTGCATGATGTTCGTAGCGGCCGCGCTTCGACTTCAGACTTGCCCGCCTCACCGGTGGTGTGGCCTGTCGTTGGGTGTCTGTCTTGAACGGTGTTCTGGTCTGCTCCGAGGCCGCATTGTCGGCCTTTTGATTTTTTTGTTTTTGGTTGTGAGAGTAAGAAATTTGAAGAATTTGAGTATATGAAGGGCGTGCATTCCTCAGATGACCATCTTTGTTGAAACACGGAACAAAAACGCACCCCTGCTGCGGTGGCACTTGATCGGCATCTGTGCTGTGCCGAATGCTCGAGATTTGCAAGGAAGGGGCTACGGAAGAAGGCCCATTCAAAGAAGAACGTCTTGCAAGAAAGATTCAGGGGATCAGTCGCCTTGCCACTGCATCCTAATTGCTTCGCCATCGTGCATGGAAATGGCGGCAGTTGTGCTGTGGCTCGTAGCACGAGCCTTGCGCTCGATCTGATCAAGACAGCGCACAATCATCTGAGCGTAGATCGATTGCCAAGGTACCCAGGCAACCAACAACACCAACCATCAAAAGATGAAGGGTTTTTTTACAAGGAGAAGGACTCCATAGGGAGAGGGTTTATTGTTCGATCGCAGTGCACCTCATCTTCACAAGGGCACACGAGGAAGGCCACTCTACGTTTTTGTTTGACTAATGCACAGCTTACTGCTTGGCAGCCTTCTCGATCTCAGAGAGGAAGGCACCACGGTCAACCTTCTTGACGTGCACGTCCTCTGTTTTGTGGAGAGATGAATGAGATTGAGAGAAAGAGCGAGAAAGAGCAGAGGGAGTGTAGGAGGAGTGCAGTGGCGCGCGGCAGCGCGGCAAGAAGAGAAGACAAGAATAGATGAAAAAGCGCACAACACAAGAAAGCACAGTGGAGCGTCGTACCAGGAATGGCGGGACCCGACTTGTCGACGGTCTCGGCGTGCTTCAGCTCGTGGGGCTTGGCCACCTCCTCGAGGAAGGAGGAGCGGTCGACCTTCTTGACGGTGACGTTCTCAATCTGAGGAGCCGACTTGTCGACGGTCTCGGCGTGCTTGAGGGCGGCACCCTGGCCGATGGCGGACTGAAGCTCGGGGTTCATGTTGGTGGAGGTGTTGTGGGTGGGGTGGTGTCGTTTGGTTGTGTGGACTGGCCAGCAGAGCAGGAGGCCACCCCTCTTATAAACGCACCTGCGTGGGACACGATTGGAGGGGCACCAAACGCCAGGTGTCACGAGAACGCCATTGGCTCGAGAGCACCAAATGAATAGCTGTCGACCCTAGTCGAGAGGAATTTCGGAGTTTTCGTCGGTTCCAAACTTCGAATTTCCGAAATTCACCAATGACACTCCATGGCACGCAAAAACTGGCGGCATTCTCCAGATGCCTTGGGATTGGGGCCAACACAGTTGTTGCAGAGCCACACGCTCGTTGTTCGCACCACTCACCATCATAATGGGTTCTCGTTCGTGGCGTGATAGATGAAACTTGTCATTTGGAGACTGGTGTAGTTTGTAAGCAAGAAGTTTATGTTCGTTGGTTTTGAGTGTTTGCTCTCACGACAGGTGCACTACTTGGCGCAAGAGAGAGAGAGAGAGAGGGAAAGAGAGACGCGGGTTGCGGCTGCAGCAGTTCACTCACTGCAGCATGCCGTCGAAGTCGTCGTCGTCTTCGTCAACCATGACGCTGAGCTCGACGTGCGAGGCATCAATGGCGTCATCGTCGTCACCGGTGTCGTCGTCTTGCTCCTCGTCAGCCACGGAGACCTCGCACACGTTGATCTCCTCCTCGCAGCCCAGCAGCTCGTACTGCTCCTGCTCGAGAGCGAACTGGAGCTCGTCTTGCTCCTCCTTCTGCGTCTCGAGAGTCTTGAGAGTGGCGACGTAGGGCTGGAGGAACGGGTGGGCCAGCACGCGCTCGATGGTGGGCCGCTTGCGTGGGTTGGGGTCGAGCAGGGTGAGCACAAGGTCGCGGCACTCGCGCGACACCTGGCGAGGGAAGGGCAGCGACGAGAGGTGGCTGTAGTCGGTCTGCTGGGCCACCTGGAGCTCGATCTCCGAGTCGAACGGGTAGGCGCCGGTGACGAGAATGTAGAGGATGACGCCCATGGCGTAGACCTCGTTGGCGCTGCCGTTGTAGGGTCGGCCCTCGAGCACCTCGGGCGAGCAGTAGGCCTCGGTGCCGGAGAACTTGGTGAGGATGTCGGTCGGGCGCTGCACCGTGCAGCACAGGCCGAAGTCGCTCAGCTTGAGCGAGACGTCGTCGGCCGCGGACAGGTCGACGAGAAGATTTTCGAGCTTCAGATCGTGGTGGATGACACCGAGGTGGTTGTGGAGGTAGTTGACGGCATCGGCCAGCTGGCCGAAGGCACGGCGCGCGAGGGGCTCGTCGAGCTTGCCGCGCGCGACGACAAAGTCGAACAGGTCACCGCCGTTGACGTAGTCCATGACGAAGTAGACATCGTCCTCGGTCTCCACGACGTCGCGCAGCGGCACGATGGTGGGGTGGAGGCATCGTCGCAGCACGTCGACCTCCACCTTGAGGTGTTCGCGCATCGTGGTGGAGAGCTTGCTCTTGGTTATTCGCTTGATGGCCAGCTTGGTCTTCATGTCACCGCCGTGGAAGCCCAGCTTCACCTCGCCAAAGGCTCCTTCGCCCAGGATCTCCGTATCGCACATGGCGTAGTGGCTGCCGCCAATTCTCGACATCTTCATCGTCATCTTTTCTTCTCCAAATCTGCAGGCAAAACAATTTCAATTCTTCCCCTCTTACGTTCGGGGTGTTACAGATCGAATGAAATGTCTTCCTTGTCGTTCGTGTTTGCTTCTTCCTTGTCGAGTAAAGGCGATTGTGGTCTGGCATCTCTTCCCCCGCCTTTTCTTCGGGCCGAGCCTTTCCTGGTACTCGGAGTCCGTTAGAATTTTTTTCACTACAAACTGTGTTGATTGGCCGACGCTTCACATTCCCTTTTCGGCCGTTGGTTTCCAGGAAATGCTTTTTCATTATTATAAATGGAATTCTCAGGCTTGGGGCATGGGGAGGGTGTAGAGGGCGGCCTTGGTCTTGGTGTACATGGTGAGCCGTCGGAGCGAGTACTGGAAGAAGTCGTAGTCGATGTCGGACACCTTGGCCTGCGCGAGGCCCCAGATGCCCCAGTAGAGGTGCGACGCGAGCGTGAACTTGTTGGCCTCCACGTAGGCACGCTCAAGTTCCAGCTCTGTAGGCTGACGCTCGAGGAACGCCTCCAGATATCTGTTCAAGAGTGAAGAGCCTGGTCGGTCAACACTGCGGGCGCGTCGTGTCGTGTAGTGCGCGCGTCGTGCCGTCGCGTTGCATGCCTTGCGCAATCGTGTTCTGTATTTTACGACATGTGTGTGTGTGTGTGTGTGGCGTACCGGGTGAGGAAGAACATTTGCTTCTCGCGCGATGGAAACTTGGTCCAGTCCAGGTCGAAGCCGGTGTGCTCGCAGAAGTGATTACCCAGGTCCCACCCCCTGTGGTTGTAGCACGCGTACTCGAAGCTGCACCAGTAACGCACGCAGAAACACAACGTGTCAGCCAACCGCATACACATGAGAGCGACTGCTTGAGAGAGGCTCAGCACTCACTCGATGAAACCGACGGTGTTGGACTCCTTGTCGTAGATGCAGTTCATCGGCTGGACGTCGTTGTGACAAAATGTGACTGCACACAGTGAAGAAATAGACTTAAGACTTGAGACGGTTCGCCTTGTCGCTCTGTGGGGCTAGAGGAGCACAGGGCGTACCCGGTGTATTGAGCGAAGCCAGCATGGCCTCCAGCTCGTCCATCTCCTTGACCACATCAATACCCAGCGCAGCCCACTCCTCCTTCTGATGAATCGTTAACACGTTAGTACCACACCAGCAGGGGCACTGGGAGACATGAGGGAACATAATGGAGACTACCTGCTCTTCCCGCTGTACGTGCGAGAGGTCGTTCTTGGGAATGAGGTCGAGCCACTTCCGCACGAGCAGAGACCAGGCTGGCTCCCTGGCTACGTCGGGAATCTCCATCTTTGCGTGCCACTGCGCCAGCCTCTTCGCAATGAGCGCAGCGTACTGCAACCACACAAACACGCGCGCACGAGAGAGAACGCTGGTGTGAGCTCATACGCTGCAAGGCTCACCTAACTGTACACAGACAAGACACGGCTCACCTCGGGCTTGTGCACTTCCTCGATGGTCAGCTGCACACCGTCAACGTGCCCGTAGACACAGCCGTTCTTGTACTTGCCTGCGGACCGGGAGACGAGCACGTTAACGGGACATCAAGAGGTAGAGAGCCGCAGGAGCGGCGACCTACCATAGAACTTGGGGCCGAGGCCGGCCTTGTACACCGCCTGGAAGACCAGCAGTTCGCCATCCCGATCCGCCAGCGACACGTCACTCCCGTCCTCTGCCACACACAACACAACAACACAAAAAAAAGCTGGGTGAGTAAATCATCAAACATATCTGGGTAAAATAAATATATAAATATATAAATAATAAAATAAATAAATGCAAACCGCGCACCTTGGGTGGAGCTGCCGGTGACCCTGATGAGGATCTTCTGATGAGGGTCGACGAGCGATGTGCACCGGTAGAGCTTGTTGGAGAGGCCGCCGGTATACTTGCGGATGGCCAGCTGGTCATCTCCCAAGCCGGCCCAGTCTTCAGATCGGAAAGTGCGCGCGATGTCCTTCAGCTTGTGGTCGCGTTGCTGGATGAACGGCGTGGGGTGACCCGATTCCTTGGATGCGGCCTCCTCCCTTGTCTCTTCGTCTTCATCCACGACCATCTCGATGTCGTTTCGGATCAAGTACGATGCCGAGTTGGCAACATCTTCGGATTGCGCCACCTTCTCCAGCGAATGCGAGGGGCTCTCGAATGCGGGGATGTGGAGAGTGGCATCGTGCGTGGGATGGCTTTCGCCCACCTCTGGCGTGTGGTGCCTCTTGTTGCTCTTCTTGAGCTGCTCATGCGCTGGAGGTGCTGCGTTCATCTTGTCTTCGTGGTTCGTTTGGTCTTTTCTCTGTTTCCTCTCCTAGGTTTTTCTATTTCTACCAGATTTGCTCCGCCAAGCTCGGCGAGCTGCATCTTCGAAGCGCCTGTGTTTCTCCTCCAGCTGGGCTCGATTCTTGAGCAAGAGACTCACAAACGAGGCAAACGCTTGGCTCACAACCAGATGAGCACATCCAGGTACGCAGCTTCGTCAAAGATGATCACCTACCTCGCCCACCATTCTCCAATCGCTGTCTCATCGAGCCTAGAGGAAGAAAATCTATCGGTCGCAAAGGGCAATGAAACGCGAGATCCTCCATCTGCACAATCGTAAACATTTTTCGTTGCAGATTGTTCACTTGCCTTGATGATCACGCTCATGTGGACTGCACGTTGTGGCGTCCCTCTACAATGTAGGCCGCAGCGACGGCAGAAGCAGAAGGCGCAGCAGCGGCTGGGCGTATACGGCTCCTATCTGGCGCGCGGGCAGTACACGCGCGAGGAGGAGCACCAGGACGACGGCGACTACCGCGAGCGCCTCAGCGCCGCTGAGCTGCGCAAGCGCAAGGCCGAGCGCGAGGCCAAGGAGAAGGAGGAGCGCGAGCTGGAGGACAAGGCGAAGCAGGACAGCGCCGACCTACGTCCCAGCAAGAAGGTACACAAACGCTGATTGTCACCACCATCACCACCATGAGCTCAAGGAAACCGACACTAACCCTGATCACCTTCATGTCGCGCGTGTGTGATGATGACGATGATGATGCGATTGCTACAGCTCAAGAGTGGAATTGAGAATGGATCGAGTCAGGAGGTGGACATCGAGGGGTCGGATCGGGACGCGCGCTGGGCCAGCGATTTCCTCCTGCAGTCGTCGCAATCGCAGGAAGAAGACGTGCTGAGCCCGAAAACGCTTTCATACAGCCTCAGCCCGTCCAGTCCGCCGTTCGCCTTCAACATCGTCATCCCCGAGTTCGATGAGAGCCAGGCAGCCGAAGCTGCACCACCTCTGGCGCGCAAACTGGTACGCCACACGACCGCGCAGCAAGTCATCGGCGCTCACCTCGCTGGCCTTATGTAGGAGGAGGCGGAGGTGAAGAAGAAAAAGCGGGGCCGCTCGGTCAGCTTTGACGAGACCGTGACGATGCTCGACCGCAGAGGCCGCACCGCTCGGTTTCCGCTTGCGCCTGGTGATGGTACGGCGGCTTCAGCTTCTTTTTGCTCTCTCTCTCTCTCTCTCGCCAGTGCTTCGGTCGATGAAGTGTAACAATTGACGGCTGGTTTTCTCCGCGCCTGCGCGCTATGTGCTGGTGCATAACAGAGCGGAGTATGCAGAGTTTGGTCGCTGATGGCGCCGCGCCGCCGGCGCCACGGCGCAGGAACCTCCGCGAACGTGCCCCCGTCCCAGAAAAGCCTGCGCCTCTCGCACTGGGCTCATCCGACGAAGAAGAAGACGACGACGAAGATGAAGAAGAGGATGAAGGAGACGAGTACAACGTCAGCGAAGAGGAAGAGGAAGGGGAAACCACCAACATCCAAGAGAAGAAGGAAGAACAGAAACGAGACAAGAAAAAGGAAAAGGTAAAGGAAAAGAAGGCTGGCGTGTCGGCGAACAGGAGGGCCAAGGCCAAGGCCAATGGCAAGGCAAAGGAGCTGGCAAAGCCGGCGAAAGGCAAGAAGAAGAAGAAGAAGAAGACGGCGGCGCTCTTCCACCGTGCTTGCCTCAAGCATCTGGTGCCGGAGGATCACTGCGAGGTGCCCGAACGGCTCTCCGCCACCATACAGGTGCGCCTCCATCCATTCTTGCTCGTGGCCGATGATCAATGTAACCAACCATCCGGCACGCACACGCATCACCGCACACGCGCACGTACCACCGCACACACCCCTACCACAGTGCATCGAAGAGTTGCACGATTCGGAGGAGACGCAAAGGCAAATCGAGCTCTTCGCTTCGCCATCCAAGGCAGATCTGCGATGGGTCAAGGTTCTGCCACCATGGCCATCATCGTAACACTGAACGTCTGAAATCTGATGCGAAATGTTGTCTCATGTTGTGTGTCTCGTCGTGTGTTCTGTCACAGGCCGTACACGACGCGTCGTACGTGCGGAAGATGAGCGAAAAGGTGCCGACGCAAGGCGGTTCGCAGGTCACCGTGCATGCCACCCTGTCGACCTTGGAGATGGACAATTCGGACGCCAACGTACGCTCATCCGCTCCCCATAATCATAATGGTCGTTCACACACGACACGCAACTCGACACGACACGCATGACACGACACGCAACCGGCACGCACGCACGACACGCACGCACGCACGCAGCACGCACGCACGCACGCACGCACGCACGCACGCACGCACAGTTTTACACCGATACATTCATGTCGCACGAGTCATGGGCTGCGGCGCTCTATGCCGCTGGGTCTGTCATCGAAGCTGTCGACCTGGTCATGGGCCAGACCCATCGCAATGCCGTCTGCGCCGTTCGACCACCAGGGCACCACTGCGGCCGTAGCGGGCGCACCGGGCAGGTCAAGTCGCAGGGCTTCTGCCTCCTCAACAACGTCGCCATCGGCGCCAAGTATGCCCTCCTCAAGCACGACCTCCACCGAATCGCCATCGTCGACTTTGACGTTCACGCCGGTACGCGCTTGGCCCTGCGGTCGCCTCGAGGCTGCCTCACTAGTGAGCTGATGACGGTGTGTCTTTGCCGACATTTTTGTGTGGAAACACACAGGCAACGGCACGGAAGAGATCTTTACCGGCGATGACAACTTTCTCTTCGTTTCCATCCATGCCGTGGGCGACAGCTTCTACCCCGGTGCGCACTCGCACTTTGTCTGACTGACCCGACCGACCACCGACTGCGCGGTTTGGTGCTTGCTGACTTTCTGTCGACAGAAACGGGCCACGAGAGCGGCGGGAACGTGTTCAATCTGCCGCTGCCGCACTGCACGACCGCAGCCACCTATCGTCAGGAATTCGAGAAGGTCGTCCGCAAGCTGGACGCCTTTGCGCCCCAATTCCTCTTCCTTTCAAGCGGGTACTCGTCCATCTTCATTCACGCACGAACGTGCACCACCGCACACGCACACATTTAAATGAACTTAACGACGTGGCGCTTGTTCACCACGCGAGCAGTTTTGATGGCCACAAGAGCGATCCCATTCGCGGGGCGAGGAAGAAGGAAGGCTTCGCCCTGACCGGCCTAGACTATCATCACATCACGAGTACGTCCCCCCCCCGCGCCAATGCATCATCGGCTGCGACTTATCTCTCTTCATTTTCTTTCTTTTTCGTTCTTTTCCCCCCAGCCCGACTCTTGGAGGTGGCAGAGCGCCACTGCGAGGGCAAGGTCGTGTCCGTGCTCGAGGGTGGGTATGATGTCGGCTCTCGGGTACGCTGCTGTTCTCTCCGCCTCCAGTTGCCACGCATCGCCGCACATGCACCACACACACACACACACAAATGCGCGCGCGCACGCACAAATGCACGCTCACTGATTCCGTCCGGTTTCTGGGTCTCAGACGCGAGGACTGGCCGAGAGCTTTAAGGCCCACGTGATGGCGCTGATGGGCTGCAGCGAAGACGATGTCTCGGCAGCGGCTCCGACGACCAAGCGCACCGCGAAGCGCACCGCACAAAAGCGAACCGCCAACAAAAAGGCCGACTCGAGCCAGGACGAGTACCAGGAGCCAGCGCGACCGGTCACTCAGGGCTCACCGCCCAAGCCAACACCGAGCCCCGCAGCGACCGCGGCGACGATTGCGACAGTCGCGACGCGCACGCTCTCGCCTCCCACCCCGCCGCGCTCGTCGTCATCGCCCGGAAGCGAGGAAAAGGCGAAGCAGAAGGCGATCAAGGTCAGCCCGGCTCGAGGCCGGCCGAAGCCGCCTGTGGTACCGGCGACGTGGTCGCCCAGGCTCGCGAAGCGGCAGTTCACGAGCGAAGCCAGCGGCAGGAGCTCCGGGGTCGTCAATGACAGCGACAGCAACAGCGAAAACGACAACCAGAGAAGGAAGCGGAAGAGGGGGTCCGCCGAGAGCGAAAACGAAAACGATGAAAGCGCGAAGGCGGCGCCGGAGAGAAGGAGTGAAGCGCGAGGGTCGCCGGTTTTGCGGCGGGCCAGGAGGACAGCGCGGAGCGTCAACGGCAGCGGCAGCAGCCAGGAGGGCGACGTGCTGCCCAGGCCGCAGGGGAAACGGATAGCCCGGCGGACGCGGCAGGTGGCGAGCAGCAGCCAGTCGGATGCGGACGGCGACAACGCCACCGCCGCGTTCACCATCCAGGCTGACCGAATGGAGGGTGAGTCATCCGAGAGTCAATCAAGTCAGCCAAGCCAGACCGCCGCCGCCGCATCATCGTCGTCATCATCGTCATCGTCATCGTCGTCATCATCGTCGTCGACCAAGCGAGCGGCGTCGCTGCCATCGTCCCTGCCTCTCGTGCCCCAGCTCGACGGGCTCTGCGATTTTGAAGACGATCCGCTGTTCATGTCCTCCTTCTCCTCGGCGCCGTCGCTGCAGGGCAGCGAGAAGGTGTTCCTCCTCGACCTGTCTCAACAGCCCGATGCCGACGATGACGAGGAGACGCAACTCGGTCCCTGACCGCAACACACGCATTTTTGACAACACAACAAGTTTTCGACCTGGGCACACAATCTCCACATTTCGCTTCTTTTTCCTTTTTCTTTCTTTCTGTTTGTTTTCTAATTCGTCGGTTTTATCCAAATAAAAATAATAGTATTATTGCATAAAATGTAACACAAAATCCAGAGACCCACTCTCAGCGAGCTCCTTCCGCGAGGGAGTGCTTTGTGGTTACAGTTCAGGAGAAGACGGCCGGGTTGACGGCGTAGAGCGAAGCCATGGCGTTGATCTGCGCGCCCGTGCGGTACTGCTTGACGCTGTCGTCCGCCGAGTCGTCCAGCCACCGCGGCGAGCACACGCCATCGCGGTCCTCTGTCGCTGCTGCGGGCCGCGGCGTCGACGGGTTGCTGCGCTCCCTGCGCACGGCGGTGAGGGCGAGCACCTGCTGGTCCTCGGCGGACAGCTGGTCCTTCCACTTGTCGAGCCCGCGCTGGCTCTTGCTTCGCTCCTTCCTCTTCAAGATGACGGGGGCGTTGGGTGAAGAAGATGATGTGGAAGAGGAGTCGGACGAGGCGAGCCCACGCCGCCCCTCTGTGATGGTTGGTTCGATGGCGTCCTTGTTCCACTTGCCCATGCCGCGCTGGCTCTTGCTTCGGCCCATCCGTGTTGAAGATGAAGATGATGAAGATGAAGATGATGAAGATGGTGAAGATGGCGAAGATGGCGAAGATGGTGAAGATGATGTTGGAGTAAGCATGGACGAAGGGGGCGTGGGCGTGTGCGAGTTTCGGCGCCGACCCAGGGCAAGACCAGGAATCTTCATGGCTTTGTTGTGTGGTGGAGTCCGGGGGGGAGGCTATGATAGCTTAGGTCGAGTTTGCCTCTTCGAGTCGTGCGTTGTGTTTGTTGTGGTTGTGGTGGCTTGTCTGTCCGTCGTTTGTGTACTCAGCGGCGCCGTTCGTGGTCTGGCGGACCAGCAACCTCGGCCGCCTCTCGTTGTGTCGCCCGCCGTGCGGTTGACGGACAGCAGCCAATCACCAGAACGGGTGTGTTATGTCTTCGTTTTATGTCTTCGTTTCTGTGTGTGCGACCGAGAACCGGTCAACGTCGGTTGCACCCGCGATCTTTGGTCTCCGGCCGACCTCCGACCGCTGCATCATCAAGGCGCCCCCCGTGGCGAACGTCGCCAGACGTTCCCTGCCAACAAAGACTCCGACCAAATTGAGGTTGTCAAGCAGGAAGCGACAAAGCGGACAAGAAAGAAGAAGAAGAAGAGGACGGTAGAACAATCGATGTTGAAGATACCGGCGCTCCGGCGAAGTAAGGAACCAGCGGACGAGAAGGAGCAGCTGCTGGTCAGCCCGCGAGGGAGCACCACGCCTCGAGGCACCATCGCCAGCCCGCGCGGCCGCACCACCACGCCCCGAGGCGGCGGCGAGGGCCTCGCCAAGTGGGAGCTCAAGCTGGTCGCAGAGGGTGGCTCGCCGACTACCGATGACGCACCCGCCACCACCATCACGCCGCAGGCGAGCCCGCGAACCCTGGTCTCGCCGCGGTGGGTGGACGACAAGGCCGAGCCGAGGATCCAGAAGCACCGGACCGACGCCCAGCTGGGGGCCATGGCCGCGCTCTACGCCACCAATCCGGCCGCCTTCGATTAGCTACCCAACTACTTCCGTCTGGCTGGCGGAGAATGTCAAGTCACGTTCATCCGCAATAAAAACCTGTTTTATAGTACCGATGACGTACCGACAAACACCATCATGCCTGTCTTGTTGAATTGGGGGGGGGGGGATGACGAAGGAGACGTGGTTTTGTCAATGTTCGGTCAGAAGCCTATGACGTGAAATTACGTGGCTTGCTTGGTGACGTGCTTGCAGGCTCACCGTTCAAAGAAACAAAGCTCCGGCGGTGATGAGGGACATGAACTCCTTCTCCTGGTAGCTCCTATTATGGAGCTAAGCTCGATCGGCCATAAAGCTGAGGCCTCAGCTTCACACTTGCGTTCTTCTCAGCCAACCAGTGGCCTAGCCAGTTTGTCCCGTGACACAACACAAACTCGACCCAACACAACATGCTCCTGCCGACTCTCCGCCGCAGCAAGCCGGAGCTCGAGACCAGCCCCAGCCAGCGGGGCCTCGGCAAGTGGGAGGACCTCGCACGCGCAGACTCCTCGTCTGCCTCGCACACGCGCTTGCCCGGTCACATTGCCCACCCAAAGCCCAGCGGCGCGGTGTGCTCCCCGCGGTGGATCGACGACAATGCCACCCCCGGCATACAGCGCTACCGCACCGGGGCTCAGCTCGCCGCCTTCGCCGCCGTCTGCGACGTTCATCCACTACTCCTTCTCTGAGCGCTGCAATCGATTGCATCCTCTCTCTCTCTCTCTCTCAACGCCTACATCTCAGATCCCGTTCTCATATGAGACTATCGGGGGTGAATGCTGGCGAGCCACACTGCCATCTACTATTTATTGTAAACAGCCAACATGTTGCCTCTTCAACAAGGATAACCTTTTCTTTCCTCCCTCTCTATTTTGTCTGTAGCTCCGACGTGACTGTCAGCGGTGGGTTCGACACTTCTCCCAATGGAGCTGGTTCACCCTTGGCTCTTGTGCCTTCCTCTGACAATGCCCACAGCAGTGTAGTGGGGCCACCAGGGGTCGGTGTTGTTTGTAGAAAAAAATCATTTTACAAGTGATGGACTGTGTAAATGGCCTGTTGTGTTTACATTGCAAACAGTGTCGCGTCCCCTATGGGAGCGATTTGGAAGGCAGGCTGCCCTATGATGGCCGCCTTCATTGGGGGGGGTTGAGACTAGGAGGCGAACACTGCCGGCTGGGCGACGTAGAGCGCCGCCAGCGCCGCGACCTGCTCGCCGTCTCGGAACTTCTGGATGCTCTGGTCGGCCTCGTCCTTGACCTGCCGCCGGGGCGAAGTAGCGTTCGATCGGGGGCTGGTGGCGTTGTTGTTGTAGTTGGCCAGAACCGCTCGATCGTGGGCAGTGAGCATGTCGCTCCACTTGTCGATCCCGCTCGCGGTGGTGGTGGTCCTGGTAGTCTTTGTCTTGGTAGTGCCCGAGGGAGCGGTGGTGGTCAGCTCTGATGATGGAGTCGAGGCCAGCAGACGCTCGGTCTCCTGGGCCGGGGTGTCCTTGGAGCGGCGGAGGGAAGTGGGCAGCTTCATGCTTGTCTGGGTGGGTGAGATGTTGGTCGAGTGGTGGGTTGTGGTGAATGGATTGTCGCGGCAGTTAGCTTTTTATGTGGTGGACCGTGGACCGGGCAATCCTGCCTCGGCGAGCTGACTCCGACGAGCTTGCGGCTCGGCAGTTGAGCCCTCCGCGCATGGCGAGGGGGAGTGCAGTGCAACCTCGGCCGCCAATTGTGTCGTTCGTTTTTTTCCATAATTGCTGAGATCAGTCGGAGTGACGTCACACTGAGCAGCTGATTCGTCTGAATGATCTCGGATTACGCAAGGCAAACCCGTTTTCCTGCCCATTACTGTAAGTTTCGTGCAAAGAACGTGGCGGCGAAAACCCACTGTTCAAGCGGTGCCCCAGACGAGAAGAAGGAGAACGAGGACCCATCATGAAGCCGCTGAACGGAGATGAGGTTTCCGCCGGGGAGGTCTCTGGTTCGTGATGCCCACCCAATCAACCAAGCCGTTCACCAGCATAAATAGCGGTCAGACCCTTCTGCCAAACGCTTCATTCATCTAACCAACTGCCATCATCATCACCAACACCATGAAGCTGCCCACTTCGCTCCGCCGCTCCAAGGACACCCCGGCCGCCACGACCGCCAACACCAACGCCGCCACCAAGAAGAGGGACCACCGGCGAGGAGACGGCCAGCGCGGGCTGGACAAGTGGAAGTCGCTCCTGGACCAGATCCCGCCCACGACGCAGGCCAACAACGACAGATGCGACTACAACGGCCGCCGCGCTGGCCAGGCGCCCTCGCCCAGAGAGTTCGACGACGCCGCCACGCCCACGCTGCGCAGGCAGAGGATCCTCGCGCAGATCGAGGCTGTCGACTCGTTCTACCGCTACACCTCCGGCGCCATCTTCGCCTGAAGTGTGCCCACACTAATGTCACCCATCCTTGTCATTATTCTCACTATTTATTAGACAATATAAAAGAACAACTTCCACAGGGGAGTTATTTTATTTAAAAACACGCCAGTGTGGTGATGGTAACTCGATCGAGTTAAGGGGCGGTGGTGGGCGCATCGCAGGTGTAGTCGACCACCGTCGTCAGGACGTGGGCCGTGTGCGAGACCCAGTTGGCGCCCGCAGGCGTTGCAAAGCAACCGGCACCGTCGGCGCAGGTGGTCAGCGCGCCCGGGTTGGTGTCTACCCAGCCCTCCTCCAGGAACCAGTACTGGTTGGTCCCGGGCGAGGCCGGTTCGGCGCAGAAGGCCAGCAGGTAGGTCCGGGCGGGGTCAGCGCGGCGAGCGGCCCAGAGAAGGTGGCCTGGACCGGGGGTGTAGGTGGGCTGTACAGCCGGCACCACCGTGACGAAGCTGGTGGGCAGGCCGGGCGTGATGTCGGTGGCGGCCACGATCGTCTGCGCGGCGGCGTCGATCACGAAGCCGCGCGCGGCCGGCGACGCCGAGGAGTCGTCGAACACGAACAACGCGCCCGAGACGTTGTAGGGGCGGAGGTGGTAGGTGAAGCTGCGGACCGAGCTTACACCGCGCACGGCGTTGGCGAAGCAGTTGACCGCCAGCCAGCCCAGCAACGGGTCCGGCGCCGCGCCCCACGGACCCAGGCCATTGTTGTGGCCCAGCCAGCTGAAGCTCGCATTCCCCGTAGTGCAGGGCACCTCGATGGGCTGCAGCGGCGATGGCGAAGCGGACGGCGACGGCACCGGCGACGTCGACGGCGAACACGAAGGGGTGGTGGACGGCGTGGGAGTAGACGTAGGCGATGCAGTGGGCGATGACGTGGGCGAACGCGACGGGGTGGTGGACGGCGTGGGCGAAGTGGTGGGCGTGGGGCTGGGGCAGAGGCTGCCGGGCAGGACGGACACATCGTCGAGCAGGTAGGCCGCCGGGTCGTGCCGGGCGCCGAAGAAGAGGACGGTCGACGTGGACCGGACGGCGACGGTGCGGCAGTACTGGGTCTGGGCCTGAGCGGGGCCGTTGATGAGCGAGAGCAGCGTCGAGCCGCCAAACTTGGCCAGGAACGCGTTGGGCGTGCCCTGGCTGCAGCCCAGAGTGAAGCGCACGGTGTAGGTGGCGCCGGAGGTGGTGGCCAGGGTCTGGGTGATGTTGCCCAGGCCGCCCACGGAGCCCATGGCGCACTGGCCGTTGAGCTGCTTGAGGTAGCCGGAGTAGGCGCCGGTGGTGACGGTCCAGCCGGAGAGATCGGTGGTGAACTGGCCATTCACCACCATCTCGCCCCTGGCGCAGCTGATGGCGAAGATGGCGCAGATCAGAACGGTAATGAGAACGAGTGGTGTTGATGATGAGGTTGTCATCATTGTCTGATGTAGTCTGGTGGAGCAAGCGATGATTGAATATGAAAGAGAAGCGCCTTTATATGTTCGGGGTTGCCCAAGTGCAGCTCAGGGAAATGGTGCAGCTCCTATCCGACTACGGTGCCAAGGAGGAAAACAGCGAAGCGCCACTCCGCTCCGATCAGCGAAATATGGTACGGTGGACCTTTTTAGGTGTTTGTGCTGGAATCACACAATATTTATTGAGGCCATACGCCATTGGCCCTTCTCACAATAATCATCAGCCTCTCTTATCCCATATGTTTGGCTCTTGGGCTTGTTAAATAAGTGTTCATCACCTGTACATAGTAGTCGTCTGCCGATATAGATCAGAGCGCTCACAGTTGTTCGAGGTCCTCCCGGCCGATGCTGATGGCTGTGAGCTGGCTCTGTGACCGTTTGGCGTATCTTCGCTTCGAGACAAGGCCGGCCACCAGCGCCACTAGAATGACCACGACCACGACGACCACCGCGACAGGCACCGCCACGGCCACCGCCACCACGAGGCCGTCATCGCTCGAGCTCTTCCCCTTCTTGGAGCCCACAACCACCGAAAAGTCTGATGTCCCACACGCCAAGATCAGATACTGTCGCACGCCACACCGCACACACCGCACACACATTACCACCGCACACGCCGCGCAACGGACCTGGATCAAATATGAGCGTGCCGTTGAAGTGGTCGAACGAGAGGACCACCTCGGCCGCGGCCTCGTTGGCCACGTGCTCGACGTGCACCCGCGCCAGCGTGCCGTCATCGGCCCTCGACAGCGCTGCGCCGAGCAAGCGCACCACCGCCGTCCTCGGCTCAGACTCGTCGCCGCCTGCGCTGCCGATTGCCAGCTCGTAGGAGGTCACACCGCGCTGCGGCGTGTCGGGCTGCACCGTGACCGAGCTGAAGCCGGGGCTGACCTTCATGTGCAGCCGCAGCGTATTGTCCGGCGAGAGCCAGGGCCAGCTCGGGCTGATCTGGAACGTCATCTTGGCGAACTCGGGCGAGGCAGCCAGCGGCTCGTCGCTGACGATGGACGGCACCGAGACGTTGATCGCGCGGTCGAACAGGTACCACCGCAGGCCGAACTGGGTGTCGTTGCTACCCAGCAGGTCCGCCGAGAATCGGTAGGTCTGCGCCGCGCCGACGTAGTCAGGCACCTGTCCGATGCTCCATTCACCTGACATTGTTCACATTCTCAGCCGTGTGTGTCGTGTCGTGTCGTGTGTCATGCGTGCGTGTGCGGTCGTGTCGTGTGCGGTAGTGCGTGTATTACCTTTGAGAGCCGATGCTGTGCGGACAACGGTCCCGTTGGGCGCCACCTCTTCGATCTCGACCAGGTTCAGGCCCACCGGGGCGTCGGTAGACCCCCTGGAGGGGTTGACGCCGATGATCGGAGCCGAGACGTTGAAGCTCAGCACCAGCGCGATGTTCTCGTCGGCGCTCGGCGTGTTGAGAATGTACAGCGTCACAAAGGTCAGCGCGATCCGGTACTTGGACAGCGCGAACGACCCGAGCGCGGGCAGAAGCTGGAGCGACCCACTGCCCGACCCGTTGACGTTCGACCGCATCGAGATCGTTGTGTTACCCTCACCTGATTGTGAGTTAATTAAATTGTGTTGACATTTCAGCTATATACATATTAATAGTTGATAAATCGTCACATATGATTAGACGTCTATGTACCTGGGACGATGGAGTTTGATGCGGTGTCAAGGGACCCGTTGCCGTAGGACACGGAGAAGTTGAAGTTGACCGTAGACGGGAGCAGGTCCTTGGTCACGATGAACTCGTACACGACCCCTCTCGCGGCGGTCATCGGCGAGTTGTCGAAGAGCGCCACCGTGGGCACCACCGTCGAGGCCGCGCAGCCTGTGGAGGCTGGAATCGACGTGATCGTCAGAAACAAAACACAACACCAACGCACACAACACACGCACACCACACTCGCACAAGCCATCGCACACGCTCACTGGACACGCATGGGGGCAGGTACCTGTCAAGTAGGGCGAGAGGGAAGCTGGAAGCTGGAAGGCGTTGGAGTCGTAGGTGGACTCGCACTGGACAGAAAAGCCGGACGGCAGCTCGGGTACGTAGCCCATGGCCCACTCGCACTGGCCCTGCTCCTGCTCCGCGATGTGCACGCCTGTGACGCACCACCGACCGAACAACCATGAGCGCTCAAGCGATTGCGCAGGGTCGAAGCCAAGAGGGGCGGTACCGCCGACCAAGCCGGTGAGGTCGTCGGTGAGGCACTGCCAATCGCCGGTCTCCTTGCAGCTGAACCCGTGGCCGACGGTGCCCGGCCAGTTGATCGAAACGGGCGCCTCCTGCACCCACCTCCCTGCGTTGCCGCTCGAGGAGCCGATGGCCGCCAGCGATGTCTGGACACCTGCAATCCAAACAACACGAGAGGAAGTAGTTAGATGCTGGTCGGTGTGGTGGTGACTCGAGTGGTGCACGCACCTGCGCTCCCTGTTGGGCCGGAGATGGTCAGGTTGGCCGGGGCGGACTGCCGCCAGTTGCCACCGAATACGGCGACGCCTATGATTATGATTGGATCGAGTGGTGGGTGGGAGTGGAGTCGAAACATACGCGCGACTCCAATGGGTCTCATACCGGTGGCTGCGAGCGTGCTGCGGGCGGTGCTCGACAGCGTGACTTCGGTAGTCTGTTTCCATTCGCTGTCGCCCTCCAGATAGACCGCTGCAGCGAACCGCCCGCCGGACACAAGACAGAGGAGTCAGCACTGGGTAGGGGCAACACCACCACGTACGCGCTGAGCGTACCTGTGGTGGCGTTGGTGGTCGACACTGCAGACACCACAGCTTGGCCTGTCGTCTGAATCCACTCCATGTTCTGGCCCAGCGAGACTCCTGGACGCCCAAGATCCGTGAGTACAGCTCGTCCGCAGGGCAGAAAGGGCAAGACCTCCGGCGGCGAAGTGGTGCATACCCACGGCCTGGCTGGGTGACTCGACGCGTACGTAGGCGTCGGCCTTCTGCTCCCACTTGCCGCCCGATTCGCTCTCGGGCCGGGAGATCACGCCGTGCGCGGGGTAGTCGGAGACCAGCGTCACGTTCACCACCCCATTCTGCTGCCACTCGCCCTCGCTCAGTGCCACACCGAACGAACGACCCGCCAACCCTGTGTGTGTGCGTGTGCGGTGGTGCGTGTGCGTGTCTTCTGTGTAAGTGCTGGGCTCTCGGGGCTGATCTGAGGAGCACGTACAGCCCGTGGCATTGCACTTGAAGTTGGCGGGAGGCACGACAGTGAGGCGGTCCTGCTGCGTGAGACTGCCCTCGCTGCCGATCTCCAAAGCTGTGCGGATGGGTTGAGGGATGGTGTGAGTTCGTGACTGGCCAGAAGAGGGCGTTGGGCCAACGACATACCTCCGACCAGGCGGAGGTTGCCGAAGACGTTGACGGTCGAGTTGACCCGCAGCCACACGTCCCAATGCGGACCCTCCACTATCGAACCCACGCCCTGGAACCTGCCCCATTCACGTTATAGAATTGTAAAATAAAATGAAAAAGAAAGATAATATAAAAACCTGAGCTGGACGAGCTAGGTGGAGTACGAGAGGGTGAGCGGGACGAGGGACGTTGTAGGGCCGGAAGTCTCGGAGTAGGAGCTGGCCTGGACGTTGATCACAGTATCGCTGACGGCTGCGCTGATCGCCGCACCAATGGAAGAGAAGTCGCACGGCGTACCTCCGGAGGGACACACAGTCACTGCGGAGCGGGTGGAAAAACAAAACAGATAAATAACTTAGGCAGACCAGTAATAGAAAGAATAATAGACAAATAATTTGAATAATAGACCCCTTGGGGTTCTTGTGAGGCCCGCACCAATGGCTGGTGAAGCCGAGCATCGAAGAGACCACGATACGACCAGAGAGAGAAAGAGGAGGAGAAGGGCGTGGTGTGCTTGCATGGCTGTAGTTTGGTTGTCTCAGGGTGGAGGGAGATGTTGGGACTGTTTCAAGAGGTGGGTACGTGGTTTGTTGATGCCACTCTCAATAGGCAAGGCCACACCGGGCGTCCGTTGGCGGCTAGCCCCCCCGTTGGCTAATAACCGCGTGTTTCGGCTTGTCCCCCTAGCAACCTGAACCTTTTTGACCGGCTGACGCACTTTTCAGACCGAGATAGGGTTGATCTATACCTAAATTCTTCTCATCTATTACTATATACAAACACATATACTCCCTCTCTCCAAAATATCACAGCATCCGCCACTTTCCATACCAGTGACACGGAGATCTCCTCTTCATCACTCGCATCATCAGTTAAAGTGATGCACGCTGAGCCCCGGTCCACCGCCGTCGCGCACGGCTGCATCCATAAAAAAAGGGAGACCGTAGGTCTGGCCCTTGACGCCCTCCAGGCCCTCGCCGGCGTACGAGACCAGCGGCGAGATCTCCACCTCGTCCAGCTGCTCGTCGCCGCCGCTTGAGTTGGTGGCGGCCGCCGAGCCGTTGGTGGCCCGCTCGAGGAAGCGGCCGCCGGCGCGGGTGATGTAACGCTTGTGGAGGTTGTAGAGGTCCCGCCGGCAGGTCTCGGGGCAGTCCTTGCCCGCGCCCGAGGCGTTCTTGAGCGGCGAGAACTCCTCCTCGCGCACGATCTCAAAGGCCACCAACTTGTTGGCGTGCTGGAAGGATTCAAGGAGGTGGAAAGGTCATGCTTCGCTGTCGTGTGTCGTGTGTGTCGTGTGTGTCGTGTGTGTCGTGTGTGTCGTGTGTGTCGTGTGTGTCGTGTGTGTCGTGTGTGTCGTGTGTGTCGACGAACCTCGAACACGTCGAAAATGAACTGCTCCAGCTTGTAGCCATTGTTGGCGGTGGCGATGACCGGGTTGCCCTCTTCATCGGCACAGTGGATCTTCTTGAAGGCCAAGTGGTAACTGTGATGGTCATTCGGCATTCAGACGGTTAGTCGTCACTCATCTCGTGCTCGCAGTGCCTCTTGCGCGCGTGCGTGGCGGGGGAGCACGTACGGCAGGGAGCTTGAGTATTCGCGAGCCGCCTTCTCGAGGAAATCGATGCGGTACGTGTTCATGCACAGATGGCCGGCGTTGAACATGAGCTCGCCCGTCTTTTCGTCCCGCTTGGCGGCCAGCTCCTTGTCGATCTCGCTGTACTCGATGACGCCGTACTTGCCGTCTCGCAGGGCGAGGACACCCACAGCCTCATTGGGCGCAGACTGAAGCGAAGCAGAAGAGATGAGCTAAGCGCCCAGCGGGCAGCGGAAATCAATTTGAAGGAAGGTGATCATCACTTACCTTGGGAGCGACCTTGCAGCCCACGTCAGCGGCAGACTCGTAGAGGAAACCCAGGAACACGGGATCCACCATCTTGATGAGGATGTTGTCTACACAATACTGGAACATGTACTCGACCTCGTTCTTCCTCATGTCCTGTAGGATTCCCCACTTGTCGAGCGCTATCGTGCCGTCAGCCAACACATTCGAGCGTTGCACACGATCTCAGACGCACACGCCTATCCAGCACACGCAACACATACCGTGGTAGAGCCCTCCGTTGCCGTCCGGTGCCATGGCTACGCGGCCAGCGGACTCGAGCATGATGTGGCCGTCCTTGGTGAGGCACGGCAACAGGCCCTGCTGGAAGAAAACGGCGTCCTGCGCGTTGAGGCCGAAGTAGTTGTGGTCCTTGAAGAAGTTCTGCGTCTTGTCGTCCGTGTCGATGCTGGTCATCACATACCACCGTATCGGTTTGCCTGTGTTCCATGAAGAAGCGAGAAATCAGAATAAGAAACAGCTTTCAATATTCTACCTAATTACCATATACATCATTAATAATAAATAAAATAAAAAAGAGAATACATAAATGGATCAAATAAGCGGAGTGAGGTGTACATGGCTTGCCCAGTCTGTCGGTCACCAGCTGCTGCAGTTTGATCAGGCGCTCCGCCTGAATCTGAAACAGCGACCTGTGGGAGAGGAGGCCGATGTCCACAGTACCCTTGGGGTCGGGACAGCCCAGGCGCGTGCCCTGGCCGCCGGCGACAACCAGCGTAGCTACCTTGCCCTCGGCAATCTTCTGGTAGCCGAGCTCTTCCCATCGAGCCCTCTCCTCGGGCTTCGCTTCCGCAATCTTGACAGACGCTTGCAGGGGCTCAATCCTCGCTGAGTTCTGACCCACTCCGCCTTGAGAGGAAAGCGCGACGTCAGCATTGGCGCTACGCGATTCCTCATTCATGAGGAAAATGCGATGCGAGTAGCGGGAATGATTGAGTACGTACAAGGATTGGTCGCGGCGGCGTACTTCTTCGCCAGGTCTTCCACATCGATAGTCTGTAGCTGTTCATAGAAGGCGATCTTCTCCTCCTCATTCAACTTCTCCTCGAAGCGAAAGACCTGCCCCTGTCCGGCGGCTGTGTACAATTCCTTCAATTTGGTAAAATCGTGCGATGACGTCATCTTCTTCTCTACTGCTCCTCGTGTAGTTACTGTGCCTGTTGTTGATCGATTGGTCTTCTTCGCGTCTGATGTCGGGGCCTGCATGATGCGAACGTTACACCAGTGTTGGTGGTGTCCCTTCGACAAGAGCAGGCCAGGTGGCAAACCCCTGAACTTGCCGTGCTCGCCCCTCCGTCCACCCCGCCAAAGCCGGGCTTGTCCGCGATTTTCCCCCTGTTGCTTTTTCTAACATCGAAATTTTTGATTAAATTGCGATACGTTTCAAAATGCTTTCCGAAACCCAAATAACTTGGCTTTTTATTTGAATGAACACTTGGAAAAACAACGCGTAAAGATGGAAGGTGCTGAGGTGGAGGCCTACGGGGACGAGGAGGTGGCGGGGTTGTTTTGGTTGCCTGCGGAGCTGTGGGCCATGGTGTGCGGGTACCTGGACACGGGCGACCTGGCCCGGCTGAGCACCACGTGCTGGACCCTGCGCTCGCTCGCCCTCTCCAGAGTGCGCCACCACACCTTCTCCCCCCCTCGGTACCACACCCTCCCACCTACCCCTCCGTTCTCCGTTACTTTCAGGTAAGTAGGAAAATTAAATCCTTTATTATTTTGATGGATCGGGCGCATTTTGTGCACGACAGGCCTGGTCACCGGGCAGAAGAGCATGCGGCAGGCGTTGACGTTCGCCTCGAGCTGGCCGGCCCTCGTGTCGCTCGACCTCTCCGCCTGGGACTCCTTTTCTGATTCGGTACGCGAGCTGCCGAACCGGGCAGCGCAGCGTAGCGTAGCGTGAATTCTCACACTCACCCTGTCGCTCCTGCAGCTCGTGAAGCACTTGCCAGAGACGCTGGAGAGTTTGACTCTGAGCTATACGGCCATCACCAATCGCGGTACCTCGTCTCGTCTTCACTCCTACATAGTAGCGCTGTTGCCTCGTTGTGTGATCGTGCTGATGAATGAGGTCATCGTGATGTGTGTTGTGTCGTGCCTTGACGATTCGAAAGGACTGGCCAGGCTGCCCGTGGGCCTCACGCGCTTGGATGTGGGCTCCACGCAAGTTACCGGCCTCGGGCTTAGGTATCTGTCTCGCCTCACAGCCCTGCGCGAGCTCAACCTTGCCTCCACTACCAGATTGGGCGTGGAACACCTCCAGGTGACTAGTCACTACTGACTTTCACTAGTGGCTGAACACTTCTGATTGTGTGTGTGCTCACCCCTCTGGGCGTTCTCAGTGGATACCGTCGAGCGTGGAAGTGCTAGACCTCTCCTCCGTCTCGGGTCCAGAGAGGCAACTCCGTACGCCCTCGTCCTACACCTATGCCTGCTCGTCGTCGCGCTGACGCCCATGACACGCGCCCACTTTTCAACTTCAGAACAAACACTGAAAGTACCGTGGCCGCCGGCTCTGACCGAGCTCAAGTTATGCGGCGCACACCTCGCACTGAGCCATCTCTACGGTACTACCCCAAAATCACCGATCACGCTCTCTGTGTTGAGGCCCAACCAACGCCAGCGCTGCGTTCGTACATTTCGTGCGCGTGCTTCACCTTTACCTTGCCCAGGAATGCCAACAACGCTGACGAGTCTGGACCTTTCCAATTCCTATCTGTACGCGTTCAACGTGGACTTTGACGTGTGTTTGCCGCGCCTGGAGACTCTCCGCGCCAATCGCTCAGAGGTCATCCGGGGGAGCGCCGAGCATCCTCCGCTGATGTGGTAAGACTTGCTTCACAGTGTGCCCGTTGTGTACGTGTGTCGCACTGATGCATTCAACACTTCCTGATGCAGGAGCCTCCCATCGGGGCTCAAGTCGCTTTCATTCGCGCATGCCACCATCTCGAAGGAGTGGGACCTCCTCGCGTTCCTGCCCGCCTCCATCACCTCGCTCGACTTCTCTTTCACGCGCCTGTCTTACGTACGTCCGCCAAGACTCACTCACAACCAAACAAACCCACCTCCGACTTACAGAGCAAGCAATTGTAAGCTCACAATTAAGTGATTCTAACTACACAGGAGCAGGCGCTGTCTGTCCGGACCCCTGCCAGCCTGTGGTTCGAGACCCTTCCCAAGCGATTGCCGCATCTCCGCCTGATCAATCTCGCCACGTCCTACGCCAGTAACGAACCGCAATGTCTCAAGGTTGCCTCCGGTCACAAAAAGAGCCCAGAAAAGCTACGCCAGTCGTCAATCGTGTGTCGTGTCTCATATGTGCGTGGCGTGTTACATGTGCGTTTCCGTGACAGGTCATGCAAGAGCACAGCGTGCAGGTCGTCTGCCCGGCGGCCTATTTCTACTGGCAAGGCACGGTCCCGTGGGTCTTACCGCAAGGTTCGTCACCTCTGGCACCTTCCGCCGCGGCATGGGCCGGCGAAGTCAACGAAACTGACTTAGGCGAGTGGTCCAGGCCGATTCGATACGGAGGCGCGGTCGCGGGAGGACCAACCCGTGTGGCAGGCCCTCATCCGGCGGTGTGCCGAACAGCGCGAGCTGCTCAGCTGGCAGCCCCTTGACCCGCCACACAGCTCCGACGAAGCTCTCGAAAAGGAAGAAGAAGACGACGACGACGAAGGTGGCGGTGACGATGCGCAAGGCAGCCTCCTCTCTGTGGGCCTCTGATGGCCGCCACACGTTCGCCCAACAAGGCGTTGCCGACGCCATTTTTATTTGTTTTATTTCCTTAATATTTTTTTCACAAATTAATTGAAGATGTCCAACGAGGGTGGAGGGACGTGGGAGCGGAAGGGGCTGGAGATGAAGGGCGGCGGTTTCTACAGTGCGCACACCAAGGGCGCAGGAGCAGCCATCATGAACGCGCTGCCGCTCCTTCTTGAGGCGCTGCAGGGTGCGCTGGCCACCGGTGACCCTGCATCCAACAAAGCGGATGAGGCATCTTCAGCGTCACGTCTACCCACCGACCTGTCCCTCTTCACCATCGCCGACTATGGTGCCGCCGATGGTGGCACTTCTCAAGGTAGCTATTAATATTTATTAATAAATATATAAATATTTTACATAAATATATTTTGCAGGTCTGATGCGACGAGCGGTCGAGGCGGTGCGAGCTGCGCGGGGTGCGGGCGTGGGCGTGAGCATCACCTACACGGACAGGCCCAGCAACGACTTCTCGGCCCTCTTCGAGACGCTTCTGAACCCGGCCAACGAGGAGAGCCCACTTTATGGCAACTCTGACGTCTACGTCTTTGCCTGCGGTATCGCGCCACCGCACGACACGACACGAACACACAACACGATACGCACGACACTCACGCGAAACGATAGGAAGCGCACACGCGATGGCACGACACACACGACTTACGACTTACGACACATGACATGACACGACACACACGGCACACGCACACGCTGAACCCTGATCGCATCGATGCAGGGCGGTCGTTCTACGAGCCCAACTTCCCGCCGGAGTCGATTCACCTGGGCTTCTCGGCGACGGCCATGCACTGGCTCACCGGCGTCCCGTGTCCCCTGGCGCAGCACGTCCAGGCCGTGGGCGCCAGCCCCGACGAGAAGGCGGTCTTCCAGGCTCACGCCAGGAAGGATTGGGAGACCATACTGCTCCACCGAGTGCGTGTGTTGTGTGTGTGTGCGTGTGTGTGTCAAAACCAGGTTCTGATTTAGCGTGTGCGATGCGCGCAGGGCAGGGAGCTGGCCAAGGGCGGACGGCTGCTCCTCGTCAACTTCTGCGTGGACGAGCAGGGCAGGTACCTCGGAAACACCGAATACCAGCAGTCCATGTTCGACGTCATGAATAAGGTAAGATGCACACACGACACGCACGACACGCACACGCAACGATTTGTTCACGTTGTGTTGGTGCAGCTGTGGAAGGGCATGGCGGACGAGGGCCTGATCACTCTGGACGAGTACCGCCAAACGGCGTTCGCCCAATACTACCGAACCAAGGAGGAGTTCCTGGCGCCCCTCACGGACCCAACCAGCCCGGTGGCCTCGCTTCGACTCAAGGTCGACGCCTGCATGACCGACATCGTGCGCTGCCCGTATCGCCAGAGCTTTGGCAATGGTTCGTCGTGTGTCGTGTGTGCGGTGTGTGCGGTGTGTGCGGTGTGTGTCGTGCGTTCTAACAGGGTCATTACAGGCGAGTACGACGCGGTGTCGTATTCGCACGCGCTGTTGGGTACGATCCGGTCGTGGAGCGAGGGCGTCTTCCTGGCGGGGCTCAACGCGAGCCGCGAGCGCCAGCAGTCTAAAGAGCTGGTCGACCTCTTCTACGAACGCTATCGCGCCCTCGTCGAGGCCTCGCCCACCGAGCACGCCATGGACTACGTCCACTGCTACCTCCTCCTCCACAAGGAAGCCTGATGCCACCTTTTTATGCCGACATAAAACAAACATATTTCAACATTCCAAGCATTGTTTCGGGCAATGGTTCGCAGTCAACCGGCAGAAACCACGAACTTCACTTGTTTGCCACTTATCACTTACACCTGGCTGACCACCTTGTTGGCAGACTCACACTCACTTCATATAACTCAAAATCCCACCTCAGCTGCCATGTGCTACCTTCCAGGTGAGAAAAGCTGGCGCTCCTGACAGCCCAGCATTGTTGTTTGTGCTTGGCCACCAAACCTCATAGCCCTCCCCCTTCAGGCTATCTCTGGTGGCTCAGAGCCTACTACACCCCCGAAAAACCGCAGGCGCCCATACCACTCAAGGTATTTACTTTTTTTTGAATATATATTAATGAATTTTAATAAATATTAGTTCAATTTATTTCGTTATCCCTTGTGCTCTATTATTAAATACTTTTATTCTCACAGGATGTGCGGGTGGAGGCGCTCATCGCCGACTTCGTCGTTTCGGTGACCATCCACCAGACCTTCATCAACGTCGAAGAACAGCCCATCGAAGGTACTGCGCCACGCCTCCCCGCTACACGTTTGATGCCACACACGCCGCCACACACGCGGCTAACCCGAACCTTGGTACAGCGGTGTACATGTTCCCGCTGGAGGAGAAGGCGGCCGTCACGAACTTCGTCGCCTGCATTGACGGCAAGAAGATCCGGGGCGTCATCCAGGAGAAGGAGGAGGCCCGCGCCACTTACGTGCGCAGTCCCCCGCCTCTGACCCTACACTCACGCACGTGCTGACGTGTCATGTCGACGCTGGTCATGACACACACCACCGCACACGCACCACCACACACGCACGCACGCGCACACATTTGTAGGAGGACGCGATCGCTAGCGGCCATGGCGCCTACAAGCTGGAGGAGAAGGACGACGAGGCCAACGTGTTCACGGTCAACGTGGGCAACCTGCCGCCGGGCAAGGAGGTCACCATCTCGATCACCTACGCCACCGAACTCACCTTCGTCGAGGGACTCGTACGTTGTTGAGCGCCAGCGCCAGCCAAAGTGGGTGGCCTCCTTTGATATGTGTCTCACCATTCGCCTCCGTCGTGTGTGGTGTGTGTGTGTGTGTGTGCGTGCCGTGTGTGTCGTGTCGTGTCGTGTCGTGTCGTGTGGCTTGTGCGTGCTTTCCACAGCTCCAGTGGCGGCTGCCGTCGACAAACGACAACCCGTCGTACTTTGTTCCGAAGGAAAAGAGCTTCGCTGTGCCCGAACTCAAGCTTACCGTGAAGCTCGGTACGGCGCACCTTATGCGCTCAATGCACACCCCGGTGACGACGAAGTGACTGACGCATGTGTGGTGTGCGGGCGCAGAGATGACCAGCAACATCAGGACCGTGTCATCGCCGTCGCACCCGATCACTTTCGAGTTCGGCGACGAGCCCACGCAGGGCGTGGTCACCATGCAGCCTTCCCCCGCCGGCACCCCTCCCGTGGACTTTGTCCTGCTTACCAAGCTCGCCACACCCCATCAGTACTCCCCCAGCCACCACCTTTTCTGTCGTGTGTCGCGTGTCGCGTCGGGTGTACGCGTGTGCAGTGTGCGG